GAATTAAATGCTAATGTAGCTCCGTACATGCGCCTGTACCGTAAACCACGAGACAGAAGCAGAACAACAAGCTAACACGTTATTATTAAAATCAACCGCCATATAAGCACATAGCCTGATAAAAATTATATCATCAGTATTATTAATATTATTAATATTAGAGAGTATTATTCTTATAATAAGTTCTCAAATAGTATATAAGCACCAACCGCGGCAAAATAACACAACACTCACTCAGCAGCTGCAAACGCCGTCTCCTATACACACAATAACATACAGAGAGCCGTACAACACACAGACAACTGCGACACTCACACGGCCACCGCACAACAAACACACAGACAAACAACGGCTCAGTCACTCCGACACACAAACAGATAACGTACTGACATAAACACAAAGACAAAAACACAAAGACACGAAGACACGCCGGCGAAACAACACAAACAGACAAAAAACAGCGAAAACACACAGGAAAAAATCAAAATAACGTCAACACACAGAGACAAACGAGGAAAATTAAGAAAGATAAGAAAGCAAAAGGAAAGTCCCTATTGTTATCGATAACAGAAGAGTTTAATTCTTTGGGGCCCCAATGTCTCTTGCACTTCACTGCACATCACTTTCATTTTCAGCACTAGTTGCTGCGGAAGGAGACCGTCTCCCAATTTAGCATAAGTCCTTTCAAGCTCGGGCAATAGCTTAAGTGATTCAACTTTTAAATCTGGAGGTCCTTTCGATCCAGAACAAAACCGGAACGTGGTGATACAACCGTAGCCAATTCTCATAAGCCCTGCAAATAATCAGCTGCTTTCGGAGCGAACCAAAACTCCAAGGTCGATTCAAACCTTTTCCTGTCTCACACCCCAACTCACAGGCTTCGTTTAAGTGTAGTAAAATCTCAGGTCGAGCCAACCTAGCTAAATCCACACTCCGTCGAGTGTGGTTGAGGCGCGCCACTGCCAACTACGGGTGTGTAACCAGCTTATCTAATGGTTCAGTAGAATAAGAAGAAACAAAACAACACAGAGAGATCACACACTAACCAAGATCAGTCCGCGGGGATAGCCGCGCTGCAGATCACTCCGCAACGTTCCAGCTGCGCTCCACAGGCTAACACAAACAAACAAGCCTCCACTGCAACACACACAGAGACACAGAGAAAAAGGACCGGACGAAGCCCCCAATTGTTAAGAATTAAAAAGTGAAGAACTTGATCTTAGCTCGTTAATTAATTCTTAGTCCCGAATTCCTGTGTCTGTGTAAGTGTGCAGAGAGAAAAGAGCAATCGTACGACGTCAGACTTCAGATATTCAGAGTTTTATCCAGAGAAAATCAATGCAAGAAGAATGTTACAATAATCATCTCACCTAGAACATCAAAAGTCCAAGACATTACAGAACAGAGACAAAGAACTGAGTAAAAAAGACAGAAGATGCATCCTCCGGGAAAACTCTCACCCAGCACAAAGAGATTCCAACTTCTGCTGTAAACCAAATCATTTTATAGAATGCGTAATCTCATCATTTAAATATATGCATTAGGAGGTGTGTTCTTTCCTTTGTGTGGGCTGTCTTAATGTTAATTTTATTACCTCCTGCTAAAGAGCCCCAAAAGCAGATATACGGCAAACCCTTCTCGTATCAGCCGCTGTCCAGTTTGATATATGATTGCAGCTGCAGCGCTATCTGTGCCTCAAAATGTTTCCACAAGAAAGTAGTTTGTATTTTTAACCAGCTTGCACACAATGTAATGCTAAATAATGACTATAAGTTGGATCTAATAAGTAACTATTTAAAAAACATGCTTAAAGAAATATAGTTAATTCTAATATAGATAAAATATTTATAAAAAGTTTTAAGATCCTAGTGAACTTTTGAACCATGCTCAGGAATTTGTTAATGCCTGGCATATAGGCTCCTTATCTCAAGAGATCCAAGGAGTCTAGGCCTATGTTTTCTGTTTCTTCTGTCTGATCCTCCTTTTAAGAATTTATCTGCGTTTCAGAGATGAGCCGTTGTTTTTAGTTTCATCTAAATTTATATAACCTAGAGTGTACTTTAACTTTCTATGTTATATTTTATATGTGTCAAAGCTATCCTGTGCAGTATTGTGCTAACTTAAAATTCTATGTCACACTTTGAATGCATTTACAGTAAGAAGTAATGAAAAAAAAAATTAATGAAGATAAAATAGGTTTGTGGGTGTGTTGTTTGTATTAATCTGTCTGTTTACAATACACAACTTCAATATGTCTCTTTAATGTACCTACATGCTAAAGTGAAAGTAAATGATTATTTAGTGCGATTGTCTTACCAGTGCCTTGAATTCAACTTTTTTATTGGTTTCTGTTCGGTAAACGAAATATTGACGAGGAGAAACCCCTTAATATTTAATGGACTTTTTTTTCACTTTTTTGCTTAAAAATGTTGGACCTTTATTTATTCATTTATTCTTTAACAGGTGAAACTGAGACTCTTATATTTACGATATTCCTTAGTTCTGATTAGCCCACCAAAACCAAACAACCTGCTGCTTCATTTCTTTGTGATTTGTTTTGTTAATTCATCCTGATTCTTGTAAATTACATTTTACCAATGTGTTAGAAATGGTAAAAAAAAAAAAAAAAAAAGTTTTAATGACTTACGTGGCCATCTGATTACATTTTAGTTCTAAATCTAAAATACCAAGATCAATCAAACTTAGAGTGAATTGTTTAACACTTAACATACAATCCATAACAGTTTGTGTGATCTTCTCTTTTTGTGGAGACATAATATTTTGTTTACACAGTGATCACTAGTTATTTTAAAAGCCCTAAGTACAACCTTTGACCCATATTCCAGAAACTCATCTACATGTGTGATGTTTTGTAAATTGTTGTTTTCTCTTTAATAGCTTCCTTTTATTCACCACATCCTCTCTTACAGGTCTTGGGCCATTTCACCTTTGCTTTCACAGTTTCTAAGAACTAAATTCGATACTTTCTTTTGAACTCTCTCTTAAACTACATTGCACAATTTCCTTCTTCTCATTTGCAAACAAGATGCACAAGCCACCAGTTGCAGCGTTTTTTTTGTTTTTGTTTAAGTGACCCATATACAGAGTTTGTTTTGGTGCAAAACTATTTGTGCCTTGTAACTGAACATAAAGTCAGTTAAATCCTATGAGTTTGAACTAAATTTGAAGATTTTCGTTTAGAAAAACAAAACTGCTGATATATCTCCTCAGATTCTCATGTACAACTTCACAAATTATATTATTTTAGTCATGCAATAAAAAAAAATCTTATTAAGCTCAGATGAGCAATTAATCCAAAACAAGTGGTGAAAGAAACATCCACATGCCTGCATATGAAAAAAAAAATACTAAGAAAGTCTCTTACAAGAATAGTCAACATCTGTCTTCTGTTTAGTGTCATGTTGGTCCTCTTAAAGGTATATAAACACAACAGACATCACCTAATGCAGAAACAAAAGAAGGAAACAGACAGAAAAAATATCCATTGTACATACATGAAATTCCCTTCATGCAGTTATGCTATGATGATCTATCAGATGTATATGGTAGTTGGGGTCACCAGACCTCCACCTCTTACTAAAGAACCCAGTACTGGAAAGAAGACAACTTCAATAACTTTGATGTGGTTCTCACTGTTTTCTCATCATCAGATATGCTAGTACATGCATAAATTTGGACAGGATATGTCCAAACTTAACTAAGTATAACTTGGTTCCCCAACTATTACTGATGAACATTAAAACACCACAGAGCTTTAAGAGTACAAGCAGAGTGGAGGAGAATCTGAAATGAATAATGATGCAGGACAATTTCATAGCCCCCCTGCATCAACCAGAATTTTTCTTCTAGATTCAATGTAACAATCAGCAAGAAAATCAGCAATCTCACAGTGTTTAGGACAAGATGAGGGAATGTATCAATGTGCTGACATTGAGCTACAGTATATCACTTCAATCACACATAAACAGGAATTTATTTGTCAGTGAAGGATAAATATGCTAAACAACAACAATCAAATTAAATGTATGCATGATACCTCTAATTGATGGCATTTTGATATAGATCAGTTTCTATAATAAAGATATCTTATTTGAGAGCAGAGAAATGACCTCCACTTCATATGAGCTTTAGATGTTTCTTTTTTTTTTTTTTTTTACTTTTTTTTGCAGTACATATTGACTACTTTCAAAACAAATGGAGAGTGAAATATTTTCTAAAACAAAATGTTTTTGCATGGAAAGTTACACTATTTTTGTCAAATAATTTTCTTTGTTTTACTTTTCTCTTTATTAGAATTTCTAGTCTTATACACTCTCATCAGTTTTGGATAAATTCTTAATCATCTTTGGGTACAAAGTCCAGATGCTTATGTGTTCAAATGAATTTAACAAATTGTGTGCATCGTGCATCAAGTACACGATGCACACAGTATGTGAAAGTTGATTGAGTTTTGATGAGAACTGTATACCACCTGCTAAACAAACACAACAGAGCTTTAAAAGATGCTGGTTCAGGTTAGTCAATGACATGATCTACATTGAAATGACTCCTCTGAAAACCTCTAAAGAGGAAAACAAAAACTGCTAAATTTAAATCTGGGATTATAGTGTGGTTCATAGATGCAGCAAAAGCTGACCTGCTGGTGGCGCTGGCTATAAAGCTGTGAGACTAAAACATTTGCAATTTGCTCCCTGCATCGAAATTTTGAGTCATGTTTGCTTCTTATCCTACTTCTGCGTATATATTACCTTTAGTAAAGAACCAGTAATGGTGTGTGCAAAACCAACATTTGTTTAAAATGAAAAATAGATTAAAAAAATTTGAACAACAAAGAGCTCAGTGTACATACAGGAAATGCCCTTTGATTGTATTTTGTGAGATAACCAATCAGGCGCATTTGATGGACAAGCTCTCCACACCTCCCTTTGTTACTAAAGGATCTTCTTTCTGCATAAAGACAGTGTCACCATGTCTCTGATATGGCTCACATTGTTACTTCTTCATCAAGTATGTAAGTACTATTTACTTGAATTGAGATATTGATTACATCAGAATATTTTTCCTGAACAACTGACCTGGACTCTTATTTATATAATATTGTTCTTTTTCTAGTTGTTCTTTACTGAATGACATGTTTTCTCCCCCAATATAGATACTCTGGTTCCAGTGGTCACAGTTGAACTGGGTCAGTCTGTGACTTTGTCTTGTGATTTTGCCATGAAATATCAGAGCAACACATGGCTTTACTGGTACAAGCAGAGTGCTGGAGATACTCTGACTTTAATTGCGATGCAGCAGACGAGTGTAAGCCCTAAATATGGACCAGCAATCTCATCTTCAAAATTTAATGTAAGATCAAATGAGCATAGCAGCAATCTTACAATTTTCACAACAGTTTATGAAGATGAGGGGATGTATCACTGTGCTCAAATTGACAGACTTAAATCTACATGGAATGGGACTTATATATCAGTGAAAGGTAAAGAAGTCATTTTATCTTCCTGTATTTTAATATTATTAAATCATAAATCGACCAGTGTGTATCATTGCCTGAAATCCAACTAGACACGATTATGTTACTGAAAAATATATCATCAATCATAAAGTATGGCACAGGGTAACAAAAGAATCACATTTTTAGTGAGTAATTTGTTTGGTAACAGCATTCAATGTTTAATTTTTATATTTTTGTAAATGTGTTTTATTACAATAAAACATCAATAAAAACATCATTTATTTCATACGCATTTCTGGGGACCACAAGCTAACTTTAAATCAACAAAATCATCAAATTGTCAGGGACCAAACAGTACCTAGAAGTTAAATTAAAGAGATGAAAAAACAGAATATAAATATTTTCTTTGAACTGCAGAACTTAAACTATGTTTAACCTGACCTTTTTGTGGCCCAATCTGTCTATATAAAATACACCTATGAAATAAGTGTCCCATATTAAATAGATCTGTTATAACTGCGTTGTGATTAATTTGTTTCAATAATTGAGTGTTGTGCATTTGTCATGACTGACACTTTTTAAATCAATGTTCCATAAAAAAAATAAAATAAATAATAGTCTTTGCTAAATACACAAGAAACAACTTTTTTTCTAGTTTTATAATTCCACAATTCTAAATTTTAAAATTTTCCTGAGGAAAAATCACAAGGAGACTAAAAGTTTTTATCCATCTATCTATTTTACTCTAGTTTCAATATTTCAGTTTGTTTCGACAGTTCACTGACAAATAATGTGATTATTTAACAGGCGTGCCAAATAGGACATCAAACTACACAGTTGTTCAGCAGACAACGATCTCTGGTCCCACCCGTCCAACGGGCTCAGAGACGCTGCAGTGTTCGGTCCTCTCTGACTCTGAGATAACAAACTGTTCAGGAGAACCCAGCGTGTTCTGGTTCAGAGCCAGATCAGAAAAGTCTTTTCCTGACATGATTTACACCGATGGGAAAAGATCAGAAAACTGTGAGAAGAGCTCTAACTCTCCAAAGCAATGTTTTTATAACTTCCATAAGAATATCAGCTCCCTCTGATGCCGGGACTTTCTACTGTGCTGTGGCCACATGTGGACAGATAATTTTTGGAAATGAAATCAAAGGGGGTATGACTTACATCATTCAAATATGTCATTGCTTTCTGAATATTCTCTAGATGGAGACAATTACATGCTTTGTCTTTGTTTTCTAGGTGAAAGAGATGAAAACATCATGCTGATGGTCACAATAGCTGCAATAATCTGTTTGGTCATTTCTGTCATTTTTAACATTGTTTTCATTTGCTTTCGAACTCAAAGATCAGCATGTCAACGATTTAAAGGTTTGTTTCAGTAACTGAATTATATATTTCACACATATGTGATGCCAGAAAAAACATAAAATCACATAAAATGAAACAAACCTTATTACACTGAAACTGAGCAATCATATGTGTTGCATTCATCTTTACAGAAAGCTCTTCTTCAGAGACAAGAAGCAACTTTAGCCGAATAGCAAATGATGTAAGTAAAAACCTTAATTGTCTAATTTGTTCTTTCAAATGCTAAAAGATGCATCTCAACATTACAAAATAACTTTGATTGTAAATGTGTTTTCCAAACAGAACGAAGCTGGACCTGATCTGAACTACGCTGCGTTACATTTCTCTGAAGGGAGAACATCAAGAGAAAAAAAGAAGAGAGAGCTGATGACTGAAGAAAGTGTGTATTCACAGGTTAAAGGATAAGCTTGAGTATTTGAGTCAGCTTGTAAAGAAAACCACTTGTGAGATGCAAATGAATACCGTTACTTAGTTACACACAAAAATTAACTCAGTATTCATGCAGACAATTGAATGAAAGATATGATGGAAAAAAAATGTACAGCTTCAATACTTTAAGTTTGCCTACATTAAACATGATGGCTTGTGTTTTCCTTAGGAGTGGAAAATAAAAACAGCTCTACAGATCTTTTTGATTTCTCTTCTAAATGTATGAAACTGAACTTTTGAACACTGGTTGTGTATTACAGTAATTATCCATGTCAGACCTCTGACTCTCTCCTCCCCACAAAAAAAAAAAAAAAAAAAAAAAACTAAATAATGCATTTATATTATTTCAAACTTTCTTCTTAATTTATCTTAAATAACCAAATACATCTGTCACTCCTATTTCACATCATTTCTTGCGATATTGTTGAACATATGTTCCTTTTTCCAAAAATAGAAAAAGAAAGTTTTCAGTCAAAGTATCATGAAGAGAATTGTGGATTAACTCCTGAAACTTTTCAAATTTATTCCATAATCTATAGTGTAGAGTATAGTGACGGCAGATTTGTTTTGGTGTTTTACTGGAGGACATATTTTATATTTCATGGCCTCATAATGACAGGAAGTTATGTAAAATTTTGAAGCGACATCTTAAGTCAAACAGAAAGTCAAAGTTTTCCAAAGCACAATGCCACCTCAGTTAGAAAACAAAATGCTGATCTCAGATGTGTTGAAACTTTGTGGTCAGATATGACAAAGATGTGTATGTGAGTGAGGAGGAACCCAACCTGACTTGGTTCTGTTAGGATTTACCAAAACTCCAGTAAATTATGAAGAGAAGTTTGTGTAAGGACACAAAATGTTAAACTCTAGTCGTTCTGTTTCAAAAGATATTGAGGAGAGTTATATAAACTTGTGACTTTTACGAAAGTGATAAAAACATGTTGTTATTCTGGCATTTTCCAAGCAGCACCACAGTCAAAAGTGGAGCAGTTATTTTAAATATATTTGAAGTTAAAGGGTCTTTAAACATGTTTAAGTATCTTAGTGTGAAGGTTTACTGTCTTGAATAGACTTCTGTTACTGACTTGTTATCCCTTGTGTTATTTCATTTTGGGTGTCAGGTACAAATATATTTTTGAATGAAATGCTGATAGTCAAGTAAATATGAGTTGATAAACATTTTTTAAATCATTTTTGTAGTAAGCAGGACACATCTAGAAGCTGTTGAAGGAAAGCACAAAACATCAACATGTAGCAACATGTAACAATTGATGCTTTTTGGTGTTATAGATGCTTTCTGCTTACAATGTGATGGATGGCAAAAACCTGGATATGGATATGGGCAGCTATCCTATGTGCTTTTAACTGTAATTCAATTTTCAAAAATTATTAGAAACCAAGGCTGCACAGTTTCAGGAAACACCTCTTCAACTCTTCAAATATATGAGTATTATATCCCTGCTTCATAAAAGATAGTTTATGAAACTGTGAAATTCAAACTAATGGATCTGAGAAGAAAAGACCTGGAGTAGATATATGCATCACACACTTTCCTATGATCACTGTGCTCTGGCAGATCATCAACACCTTCTAATCCTTAATCCTATGTTGTCATAACACCAACCTTCAGATACAATAAAGGCAAATTCCAAAACAACTGAAATTCAAATTCAGAAATACTTTATTGATCTATGAGTTACACCATAGGAATATATTATGGTCCAAGGTGTGTCCTTTAATTACAGATGCCTTCAAGCTTGTGATCAGTCAGTCTGCCTATTTAAAGGGTGGCAAGAAGTCACTGTGCTGTTTGGAGACATGTTGTGCACCACACTGAACATGATCTATAGGAACCGAAGAACCCAGGATATTAAAAAAACATATGAACAAACATTTTAAATGTAAAGGTTAGACCATCTCCCAGCAGTTTGTTGCTCCTGTGACAACAGTTGCTCATGTTATTCAAAGGTTTAAAGTTTAGTGGACTGTAGAAAACTTCCCTGGCAGTGGCTGGAAAATTGATGACAAAGAAAAGGATAATAACAGAAGCCAAAGAGTCCAGAACAACTTCCAAAGAAGTTAAATGAGATCACACTTACATAGCACTTTTCAGGACACTGATGCTTTACAATGAAATCAGTCATAACCTTTCACACACTCATTCACATGCAGACAATGTGGATTGCACCCACAGCTGCCGTGGGGCGGTCTGACAGAAGCAAGGCAGATCATCTATATTGCTATATTTAGCACAGTTTGTCTCAAATCTTTGCCGGGTCTGATGACTGAAACATTCTGGAGAAAATTGTTCTGTCTTCAGTCACAGGTCAAGGGTCCTTAAAACAGAAAATTCACCCAAAACGGACATCTTTAATTACTCAAGAGAAAAACACTGGATGATTGTGAATTGGCCTTCTATGATCCCTGATCTAAATTATATTGAATATCTATGGAAGGAGACAAAACATGCCAGATAAAGCAGCGCTCAAACTTGAGAGCAGTTTATCCAAAAGGTGTGAGTCAAATTACCTGTGGGCAGGTGAAGACGTCTCAGTAACAATTTCATCAGTTGATTGATTATAGTTTTCATTGTCTCAATAAATTGCCAAACATTTAAATTACGTATCCCGTCATTTTTGACCAGGCCTGTTTTATTATTGTTTATTTTTTAATATAGTAATTCTCTTGAACAACAATTCAGAAGCAATGTCTGATTTTCATTGGGAAATTTTGGGTATATTTTTATTCATTATTTCTTTGTCTGTTTTATATTATTTTAGAATCCATTGTTGGCTTTTTGGTCATTAACAGAGGAGTATCAGCAGTTTTGCCCATGTATAACTAAAAATGAACCAAAGGTGTGCTTCTTTGTCACAATGGCTGAATCTCCAGAATTCAAGACATTCTTTTCATCTCCAAGCCACATTCATCATATTTCTATTGATATACAGCATTAAAGATCAATTGTTTTTAGGTCTGGTTTGTGTAATATCGATATCTCATTTTTATACGTAAGAGAAAATCATCTGATCAATAACTAGGTGTGGTAACTCTGACCCTAATCCTACATTATTGTTGTTTCACCATTTACTGTATGTGTAGCAGTTGACCTGCAGGAGACGCTAGTCATAAATAGTGAGATTAATAAACATTTTGCGATTGGTTCCATAAACACGAGTTTTGTGCCATGTTTGTCCGCAACCTTTCTTCTGTGTCATATTGTCTTTAGCAAAGAACTATTGATGGCGCACACATAAAAATTAAATAAAGGTACAACAATGGCAACAAAGCATTTGTACATACAGGAAATGCCCTTTGATTTTATTTTCTGAAGTAACCAATCAGCTGCATTTGACAGTCAGGATCTCCACACCTCCCACAACTATAAAAGAATCTTCTTTCTGAATGAAGACAGTGTCACCATGTCTCTGTTATGGCTCGCCACATTATTGCTTCTTCATCAAGGATGTAAGTATTTATTTTCATGAACTGAGATGAAACATTTTCATGTCAAAGTATCTCATATGTTTTGGTTCATTTCAACGAAATTTTCTTTTCATGTTGTTTGTGATTGTTTAAATTGCTGCTTTTCCCCTCAATATAGATTCTTTGGTTCCAGTGATCACAGTTGAACTTGGTCAAACTGTCACTTTGACTTGTGCTTTTAGTTTGAAATATCAGAACAACAAATGGATTTTCTGGTACAAGCAAAGTGCTGGAGATACTCTGGATTTAATCGTGATGCAGCAGCGAACGACAAACCCAAATTATGGACCAGCATTCTCTGCTTCAAAATTCAGTGTGACAAACTACAGCAGTCTTACAATTTTCACAACAGTTCGACAAGATGAGGGAATGTATCACTGTGCTCAAATGGACGCACTTGACTTTATGTGGAGTGGGACTTATGTATTCATAAAAGGTAAATGAACAATTTTTCTTTTCCAGTATTTAATATATTTTTTAAATTGACATATTAATCAGTATCTGTGAAATCCAACTGGACAAAATGTCACTGAAAAATCTATAATCTAGGAAAGAAGCATGGCTTAAGGGGCGAAGAGGCATCCAAAAACCAAACCTTTAGAGATTAGTTCCTGATTTCTTTGGAACCAACATGCAATGTTTAATTTTAATATCAATGTGTTTTTTTTTTATCATCTTATATCTTATAAAAATAAAAAAACGCAGACTGAAAGACAAAAACTATTTATTGGAATTTCAAATAATATAATTATTATTGTGAACTAAAAATTCTACAAAAAAAAACGACTGAATGGATTTACCAATTCATATTTGATACCGTGCAATGTTTTTCACTACAGTGCATATAATCTTATGGAGAAAGTAGACCTTTTAAAAGATCTGCACTAGTAACACTCAAATGACCTGGATTTTAAGTAAAAATATTTTAATCTGTAGCTTATTTATGAAGCAATGATGAAAATAGCATGAAATTCTGTGGAAAAACACTGTCAGCCCCAAAAAAGACTTTTATATTTGTGATATATATATATAAAATATATATTCCAATTTAACTAAAGCATTTTTTAAAAGTGTGAACATTATTGCTGACAGTTTATTACAAAATTATAAAACACCAAAGTTGAAATCAATGAAAAAAATGTATGTTTTTTGTGAGCTGTGAGATATTTAACTTGATCATTTTGTACCACACATACATCAGTCTTTATTATGGCTATGAATAAAGTGTCCTAATATTTGACTATATAATATATTTATTCAACGACATTATGTCTTCAATAGCTTTACCATAAATCAAATCAAGTAAAGTTCTTATTGCCAAATTTGATACAAGAAAAGCATTTTTCAAACACAACCCTAGTTTTCTTATTTGATTTTGTTTTAATATAATATTGCACAGGAATCCCTAAGAGGACATCAAACTACACGGTTTTTTCACAACCAACAATCTCAGATCCAACGGGCTCAGAGACTCTGCAGTGTTCGGTCCTCTCTGACTCTGAGACGACAACCTGTTCAGGAGAACCCAGAGTGTTCTGGTTCAGAGCCGGATCAGAAAAGTCTTTTCCCACCATGATTCACACCGCAGGACAAAAAGCTGAAAACTGTGAGAAAAGATCTGCCTCTCCAAAGAAATGTTTTTACAACTTCTCTAAGAATATCAGCTCTTCTGATACTGGGACTTACTACTGCGCTGTGGCCATATGTGGACAGATACTGTTTGGAAATGAAATTAACCAGGGAAACGGTATGACTTTGCATACAACATTTGAACTATTCAAAATGTTTTCTGAAGCAATAACTTTATATTAAGGGAAGAAATGACACTTTGTTTTCTTTTTTTCTAGGTAAAACAAATGAAAACAACATGCTGGTGGTCACAATAATCTGTTTGGTCATTTCTGTAATTGGTAATATTGTTTTCATTTGCTATCTAACACAAAGATCAGCATGTCAACAATGTAAAGGTTTGTTTCAATGACTGAATTATTGATCTCAAAGATGTTTGGCACTAAGACAATTTTTCTAGAATCATGTAAAAAAAAAAGTTAAATTGAGTAAATGTGCATTTCTTCCATGTTTACAGAAAACTCTTCACAGAAAAGAAACGACTTTAGCCAAGTAGTAAATGATGTAAGTACTCAGTAACGTTCATATATATTGTTTAGCACTATTAAGAAATTAGATAAATAACTTTTGAGTGTAAATGTGTTTTTCCAAACAGACAGAAGCTGGACCTGATCTGAACTATGCTGCGTTGCATTTCTCTGAAGGGAGAACATCAAGAGGAAAGAAGAAGAGAGAGTTGATGACTGAAGAAAGTGTGTATTCACAGGTTAAAGGATCAGCTTGAATATATGTGTCAGCTTGTAATAAAAACCTCTTGTGAGATGCAAATGCATACTGTTACTGACTTACACACAAAAGTTGTGAAGTGGGGCAGGACCGTGAATAAAAAACATGGAATGAATAAAATAAATAATTTTCAACATTTTATGTCAATTTCAACTACATATTGTAATGTTTGAAAAATCTAACTTGATGGCTTGCTGTATGTATGTGAAATATCTTAGAAATGGGAAATAATCCTGCTTTATGTAAATGGATCTATCTTATTTTCATAAGTACAACAATACAGACCTCTCTTTACTGTTGAACAGTGGATGGTGTGTCTTTGACTTATGAAGAGTTTCAATCGTCTGTCCAGGAAAGAGCCAGATTCTGTGTTCTAGAGAGCAATCTTCTTTTTTTTTTTAGAAATGTTTGCATCATCTTCTTATCCAGAGAAAAGAGTCCTTTCAGGAAAAGAGGAAGACATCAAAGCAAGATAAAACATAAGATTACAGTTTGCAAAAGCACATGTGAACAAAAAGCTATTTTTCGAGACTATCAAATTTGTGGTCAAAACTGTCAAAGTGTGGTGGAAGCAAACCTAATTTAGTGACATCAATATGGGTCAAAACTGCAGTAAATTATTGTCAGAAGTTGTTGAAGGATCCACAAAATGTTGAACCCAAGTCATACAGTCTTATTTACACACATCAAATATATGAGTCCAGATATAAAGAAACTATGTACCTTTCGTTGAACATCTAGCCACATCACATCTAGGAAATCTGAATGCCGCTTTTAATGCATCTAAATTTATATTCCACATGATTTAGGATGAAAGTTCAAGTGCCATATTGTCTTATTTCCTCCCACAGCTTTTGAGAAACTATTGGTTCCTTGAGGAGTGAATTGTGAAATTTGACATTTAACCTAATCACCAAGGTTTGTCTGAGACATATTGTAATGCACTAGTTCACCTATGTGAAGCTTCTAAGTAATTGCCTTCACTGTACACAACAATCCCTCAATGCGAAGACAGAAGTGCTGAGCTGAAAAAAGAGGATTTTGATGATAAATATTTTGATGCATGGCCAACATGGACTGAATGACTTCTTCAGCTGCCATTGTAAAACTGCAGACAGACTACAATTCTAAAACAACGCACAAAATCACCATCATCGTTCACAACTTGTTCTGTTTGCTGATTGGCCCGATTGAAATTCTACAGGAGAAATCCAACTCAATGGGAGAAATCCCAGAAGGAGCTTTGAGGAGAGACAGCAAGTGAGGAAAATTCCATAGGAAACCAATGACCAGGCTAATATTTCATAGACAGGAGGTTAAGAAACTCCATCAATAGCATAATTGAACTCCTGACATCATTATTCAGGACTGTTCTGATCTTCTGCATATTCTAAGTCATTTGTTTCCTTCTGAATCAGCAGTTCTTCTCACAGGCCAGATCTTGAGAGTCACTAACCGGTCGATCATCAGCAATCAAGTGATGAGTATTTAGAATCTGTGCTCATCTTCACCAGTTGCTTGATTGCCTAATCATTTTAGTCTCTATTATCAAGTTATTTTCTGAAATTTTTCCCTTTTCAACTTTCCATTGATTAAATATTATGTGTCTGTGCAGGTTTGAAAAGCTGGAACTAGAAATCAACACTCCACGTCACATAACTAGCAGTTCTTACTTGCATTTGGTGCCTGGTTGTTCAAATAAACTGCTTCAATAAACAAAACAGAAACTATTTACCTTTCCACCCTTGATTCTCAGAACTTCATAAAACCCACTAAACTCTAAAACAGCAAACCTTAATTCTCCCTATAAAGAGTCACGCTGCCAACTTACAACTTGTGGCATAATATTTCAGTATCAACTGTAAAATCACCATAATTATTTTGTTATAATTTTCTAACATAAAAGCATAGATCTAGAGAAACACTTAATAGAGCACATGGATGACAAGGTGCATTTCTAAACCCATTTGAAAATTTTACCTATAAGTAATAAATATGTTGATAAATTATCAGCAATGGATTCCCCTAAGGGTTGTGGGGAATTCTTTAGTGAAACCTCACAATAAGTCTTGTCAGTTTAAAATTGCAAATCTTTACACATTTACTGAATATTTCTCAACCCCTTCTTTAATCCTTTGGTGCAAAAGCCAGATTGAAAATTGATTTATTAACTGCATGTTCACGTTTGTGTAAGGCTGAGATGGAACTGGACATGAAAATGGCCCTTCATTAACCAGACTACTAACACAAAAACAGACAATCAGAACTGCAAGATGACTTTATTAACCTGTGAGAACAACTCAGAAATACTCCAAATAATTTAGATATTTGTTTTTCCCTTTTTCTTCTCATGAAAAGTTTCTGTTTATATCTTAGAAGGCCTGCAAAAGACCATGTTTCACTTGTTTTGCTTTTGTATTTTGCACATAGGTTTGTGGTGCATTTCTATCCTTAAGAAAAAAAAAAATAAAATGCCAGACATTTCACAAACAAGGTACATGGAGAAACCTTATGAAATCTTATATTTCAGCAGACAGACTTTCAATACTCAATTATACTGCATGAACTGACCAGTACATTATTGTGAGGGAACACAAAGGTTTTGCAACACAATGCAATATTTTTGGGAAGTAATGCTAAAAAATTATTTTTTTCAATGTCCCCTCTGGAAAAAATACAAAGTACCCTCTGTATTAAGAACACTTCTGCTGTGACAGAAAATTTAATTAATCAGTTCCTTAGATCAATCACCCTCCCTCCTCAACAGTCTTATTTTAACAATGAATTGAAAATAAAGGTGACACATGTTATCTTCAGCCATTTTGTGATAGGATGACAGTTTTCATTTGTCTGACCTGCAGGTCTGGGGGTTGCAAGTGGCTGTTTGATTTTCCCAGTACAGTAAAGAATGAAATAATGCCCTGTTCTTCTTTGTTTGTTTCATTCTTTTCTTCTGTGTCTCCATAAATAAACACTGGCCTCACCCTTCCATTCCTGGTAAATTCAGTCCAGAACTTGACAGCAGGTTTTGGATCCACTTATTTGTGATAATTTGCAGTTTTTCACATGAAGATTGACATCTGCTGGCCTGCTCAGGGTTTGCAACCAGCTCTTACTGCTCTTACTGTGAGAAACTAGCAATCTCCTCCCAGTGTCAGAAGTCCCACTGGAAGGAACTGAATAGTGTTTTATTTCCTGCTCCAGATGATTGAGTCATTATTATCCATTACCTTGTTTCTGTTTATATGTTGACTTTAGCAGAGAACTATTTACAATGCATGAAAACCCAAAGATGTTAAAAAAATAAAATAAAGGCATAAAAATGACGAGAAGCTCACTGTACAGGAAATGCCCTTTGATTGTATATTTTGAAGTAGCCAATCAGACTCATTTGACTCTCAAGATCTCCACACCTCCCCCAGTTACTAAAGGACATTTTTTTTCTGAACGAAGACAGTGTCATCATGACTCTCTTATGGCTCACATTGTTACTTCTTCATCAAGGCTGTAAGTACTTTTCACAAACTGAGATGGAATATTTTCTTGTTGACGTATGTGAAACATACATTTCACCTACTTCAATAATCTAATATTCTTCTTTTTATGTTGTTCTTATTGTTTCAATTCTGCCTTTTCCTGATATAGATGCATCAGTTCCAGTGGTCACAGCTAAAGTTGGTCAATCTGTGACTTTGAGATGTGTGTTTGATATGACATATGAGAGCAACACATGGATTTACTGGTACAAGCAAAATGCTGGAGATACTCTGAATTTAATCCTAATGCAGCAGCGAACAATAACCTCAATCTATGGACCACAGATTGATGCTTCAAGATTTAATGTAGCAAACACCAAGAACAGCAGCACTCTTAAAATTTTCACAACAGTTCAACAAGATGAGGGAATGTATCACTGTGCTCAAAGGGACACACTTGAAACTACGTGGAGTGGGATTTATTTATCAATTGAAGGTAAATCAGTCATCCTTCTCTTTCATTATTTTACAGATAAAGTATTATGAATCTTTGAGTCCTTCTGGACAGGATTATGTTTCTGAAAAATGCATTCAAGAAGCAAAACTCATGTGGTCCATAGAGGTGTCTTCAGACCACATTTTCAGTCTGTAACTTTTAAGAACAGCACGCAACGTTTATCTTCAATATATTTGTATATAACATGCCCTTTATGTTTTTCTATGGCGTTGTAACACATAACATTAGAAATAAATGCAGGTTAAAAGGCAGAGTAAATTTATTTCAGTTTCTGCATTTCAGTTCCAGCATGAACAGTTATTATATTGTTTAAATTGTTTCTCAAAGGATAAAGAAAATGAAACAATTTTAGTTTGTGTTCAATTCTCCAGAATGTTTTGCGCTATTGCAGAGGGTATAACTATATTAAGAACTAGAGAACTTGGGTTCTAACATTTAAACAATCTGGTCTTAGCCGAGATTGGAAATTGTCATTCACACTGCTAAACCACAGACCAAAAATGTTACCATTTGTTAAACAATTATTAAATCAATTACAAAATCAAATGAAAATGTGCAGAAATCTACAACTGCAGAACCTTGTTTGTAGATTTCTGCAAAAACACTGAAAGCCCAAAATCATTATTGGAATTTACTGTTTTATTTTATATTCTTTACTGTTAGTAATATTATATAAGTCTTGTTTGTAATTTAAATAATTTGTATTTTAAAATTTAAAAAATGTATAATTGTTTTAATAAAAACTGAACTTCAAATTGGTTAAATTGATTTTTCAATATGATTAAAAAAACAGTTGAACCACTGTCTTCCAAATTTGATGAAATTTCGAAGATAAAAGAAAATCAATGATATATAATTATTGTTATTGTAGAACTTTAACAAATACTGACCCCTTTTGTCAAACACTCATCGATATAAAATATGGTTCAGTGTTCCATATTTAAGCTGCATTATGTAATTGTTGTGACTTAGTTTTTTCATATCTGATCGTTTATATTAATAAAAAATTACTAATAATGTTTTTAACAGAACTAAACTAAAAAATAGACAAACATGTTTATATGTCTCTACCAAATATGACACAAAAATGTTTTTTTCTAGCAGTACTCTAATTGTATAATTCAAGTTTATTATACATAATTTCACAGGATATGAGAGGACATCAAACTACACTGTTGTTCAACAGTCAACGATCTCTGGTCCCACCCGTCCAACAGGCTCAGAGACGCTGCAGTGTTCGGTTCTCTCTGATGCTCAGAACAAAACCTGTTCAGGAGAACCCAGCGTGTTCTGGTTCAGAGCCAGATCAGAAAAGCCTTTTCCTGACATGATTTACACCGATGGAAAAAGATCAGAAAATTGTGGCAATATCTCTCACTCTCAGAAGAAATGTTTTTATAACTTCTCTAAGAATAACAGCTCCCCTGATCCCAAGACCCTCTACTGCGCTGTGGCCACATGTGGACAGATATTATTTGCAAATGAACTGAATCTTAAAAGTGGTATGACTGTATCAATAAATTATTCAAAATATCTAAAATAATCATTAAAAAAATCTTTTCTCAAGCAATAACCTGCTCTTGTTATAGGCAATGACATACTTTCTCTTTGTTTTCTAGGTGGAAAGGATGAAAACATGCTGGTGGTCACAATAGTCGCAATAATCTGTTTGGTCATTTCTGTCATTTGTAATATTGTTTTCATTTGCTTTCGAATACAAAGATCAGCATGTCAACGATTTAAAGGTTTGTTTCAGTGACTGAATTATATTTTTCAAAGATGTAGACACAAGAAAAATGTTAATAAAATCATATAAAATGAAAACGGCATATATATTGAAATTGACTAATTATGTGATGCTGCCACTTTTACAGAAAGCTCTTCCTCACCAAAAAGAAACAACATCAGCGAAATGGAAAATCATGTAAGTAATGATCTAAATTTATTTTTTGTGATCCAAATCAATACATCTGAGTATTACAAAATAACTGAGTGTAAATGTTTCTTTGAATAGACTGAAGCTGGACCTGATCTGAACTACGCTGCATTACATTTATCTGAGGGTAGAAGATCAAGAGGAAAGAAAAAGAGAGAGTTGATGACTGAAGAAAGTGTGTATTCACAAGTTAAAGGATCAGCTTAAAAATGAGCTTTCATTGAAAACCTCACTTCTGAGATGAAAGAGCATCTTGCTGCTGACACACAAAAGTTGTGAATTCAAATAAAACTTTGATAAATGACAAATGTGATGAAAATGCATTTAAAAAAAAAATAATTACACGTTTGCCACCCTTACCATGTTGTATTGTTTTTTTTTTTTTAATAAGCCTATAATACATCTTTTATGTATGTGAAACACATAATGAATGGAAAATAAAACAGCCATATCCAAATGGATCTTTCTGATTTTCTACTAGCAATACTGGCTAGCTCTTCAAATGTTTATGTTACTTATATGGATATTAAAATTACTAATTATGAATGAATTAATAATGAAATCAGATCAGAAAAAGTATTGGTTTGACTGCTGTGTGATTTGCAAAAACACACACAACTAAATAGTTCAAAATGTGTTAAACAATATTTACAATAATATATACAAACAAGTCCATAAAATATAAAATGTTTTGTTTTTTTATTATTATCTAAAACATTTAACATTTCAGCTCTTTGGTGGAGGTGAGAGAAATGATGGAAAAGAATCCAATTAGTTCAGTCTAGAGTGAAGGTGAAAGTGTGAAATTTTTAAATTTCTCAATATTTCATTTTAGCTTGCAATGGAAATAATGTTTTTCATTCAAAGTATTTTCATTAAATGCATCAAAGTAACAATACATACTCAGCTCAAGTTAGTTTATACTGACAGACCCCAACCAATAACCAGGAGGCTAACACTAGCATGCTAGCTCCCAAGCAAACACTCTCCAGTTCCCACTTGTCAAACCGCGTGATCAGTTGAAGGTTTTGATCCACAATCAAACATCTAATAGTTGAGAGGCATATCAGTAAAAGAAAGCAATATGAAGATTTGTTAGAGGTTTACAAACGGCCAGAAGCTTACCTGCAGCAGTGATGGACAACATCTCCCACCAAGCCCAGCTGGTCATGTGACTCTGAAACCACGAGAGCAGACACACTTAAAGGTGTTTGTTCTTTGGTTAACATAAGAACAGAATGATTTTATTTTTAAATAAATCTTTACATTAAAAAATAAATTAAAAAAAGTGAATCTCAGAAATTGAAAAAAATGATCCTGATTATACAACGCCATTTCACACCACGTCATTTCATAGCACTTTACAACAAAGTGATCTAAATTCAATTATACATGAATTCCAATTCAACAAAGTTCAATCAGGTTCAATTTATTTTCAAATTGGTTTTAAAACTTTCCAATTAAAAACTCAATTCAGTTCTTGACATGCAGCATTCACAGTCAATGGTTGTCTGCTCTTGCAACATGCAGCAACACAGTTGCTTGTGTTGTTTCATTGACTTGAGAGCAATCCCTCATAATGAACATGCATGGGGTGACAGTGGAGAGAAAAACCGTCCCTTTAACAGGAGAAACCTCCAGCAGAACCTGTCATGTGCCATGACCCACAGTGCCGTAGAAGATAAAGTAGATACATATATTTCATTAAATAATTATGTTTTTGTCATGAGGGTACCTTTTGATGTAGATCTAAGGAAGTGGTTTTGTGAAAATAAAAAATAGCACAAAAGACAAAAGTTTCTACATTTCTCTTCAGCAAATACAAACTAACATCAGAACAAGCTGTGTTCAAGCAAGAGTTCTCACTTTAAACTGTACTTGTAAGTATGTCCGTGGCACATTTTGTTGTAAAAACGTTCAGATTTGATTCAGTAAAATTATTCACATTGGACAGAGTATCCAAAAATTTTACTCAAATAAAAGAAACGATAATTCATGAAATGTAACAAAATGTCTAGTAAAACTACTCCTAAATAATTTTATTCCTGAAAAACTCACTCAAATAGATACAATTAAGTAAAATAATTGGTTACCTTCTTACTCTGTTGCTATCTTATTCATGTTTTTTAAGCTTTTCCTACTTATGGATCCATTGCAAAACCAAGGAGTAACAGGAGGAAGGATTGAGAAAGGCAAATTGGGAGGAAATCCAACAATCAATCTGATCAATTATGTTTTATTCAAACTTCTCCCACAAAAGTGACACCCAGGAACCTCCTGCTTAGTGACTGCAGAGAACCTCTTCTCAACCAGACTGAGACTGTTTACTAGCAGCTAATCTGCTACATCGTTTCCATAAATGCCATGGAGTTGTTGCCACAGTGCAATTGAAAATCATACTTTAACAAGCAATATTTCCAATTCAAAAGCCCTTTTTGCAACCAAATTATTGAATAAATGAACATGAGCTCAACAACAATGATATTTTAATTTGAATCTGTTATTTGGGTTATTGAAGCATCAGATTCCTTTTACAGATTGCTATTACACTCATTCAGGTTTCAAGTGTTTCTGGAATCTCCTATAATTCATCTAAGGTCTTCAAAATATACTTCTTTACGTGAACTTTAGCGTTGGTGATGTCTGCATCAGCATGTTTTGTGTCACAATGGTATTTTAGGTCTTAATAGTTTTGGTAATAGGCTAACTGTTTTACACAACTTGCACACAAAGTCTTTTCTGCTGTCCCATCAGTTAATTTTTGTGAAGCCACAATTATAGTGGGCCAAGAGAAGCAGCTTTGTGGATGGAAACCAGGACATGCCCCAAAACGATTCATCATATCTCAGGAACTAAAGAGTTTATTTTGTTCTGGTATCAAAATAAATGGAAGGTTCCAGAGAATAATCTGCAGATCTAAATATAAACACTCATATTAAGGAGAGAGAGAGAGTAAAAGAATATGGAACACAGTGAAAAATGGACTTTGTGAAGTGAATAGCCTTCTGAAAATATGCAGTGGCAGTTCAGAACCTCTAGCAAACCAGAATACAGGCAGGCCATTTACTGTGGAAAATGTATGTAAAATACAATTATACACAGGGATTTGGTTGAGGTATAATATGAAACATTTGCAGGCAAACATTTGAAGTGAGAAGTTTCAACACATTTTTGGCACAATTTTTCACCCTTTCATCTTAAAATAGATTGTCATTGTACTATCATTGCTGTGTATTTTTCCAGGTATGCATCCATTTGTTTTTTTTTTTTCCCATTTAGCTACTAAATGTTATAACTTTGTATTGTTGTGATAGACAATATTGCAACTGTCGTTTAGACGAACTTTCCCCTGTTATGATGATATGACTTTGAGGTTTAGTGCTTTACTTCACTACCTTAGCTTTTGTGCATTTTATAAAGGTGAAACCTTTGATCTTTACTTGTTTACTCCCACATAGTTCACTCATCTTCTGCACAGAGGACCTTTGCAGTAAAACTATTCACTCTATGGTTTTATGTGTAACCAATGATAGTCACAGAGAATAATGAAAGTGCTGTAAAAGCTGTAGTGTCATCATTCAATTATGCTGGTGAATTGCCAATAGTTGTTTTTGGTTGAAACATATTTTTTTAATAACTAAACCCCTTTAAATAATAGAAGTGTGATTTATTTCATACTTCTCTGAAACATGATGATGTATGCACTGTAGTAATATTTCAACATCTGATAATCTATTATGTCTGTAAATTATTTGTAGTCTGCAAAGTCAAAAGAAAAGCTAACCTGCTGGTGGTGCTACTGCAAAGCCCATGGCATAAAAATCAGTGTAATAATCTGCGTAAGAAAGTTTTGCCATGCCATGAGAAACCTTCCTCGTAGTTCTTGACCCATGTGTTACCTACAGATCAGAATGAAAAAAACCATCAAACATTCAAATTACTGCATAAAAGCACATAACCCAGAATAGAAGCTCACTGTACAAACAGGAAATGCCTTGTTATTGTATACTTTGCGACAACCAATGAGATGCATTTGACACTTGGGACTGACACGCCTCCCAGGTCACTAAAGGATCAAGAATCAGAATGAAGACATTGTGACGATGACTCTGCTGTTGCTCATACTGTCACTTCTTCATCAAGGATGTAAGTAATACAGATGTATACATTTCGAAAGATAATCTCCTTGTTATATATTGTCAAAGATGTTTGGTTCAAAGTAATTTTCTTTTCATGTTGCATCTTATTGATTTACATGTTTTTCACCTGCGTCTTTTTTCCCATATTGCAGACTCTTTGGTTCCAGTGGTCACAGTTGAACCTGGTGAAGCTGTGACTTTGACTTGTGCTTTTTCTGGCAATTTTCAGAGCAGCACATGGCTTCACTGGTACAAGCAGAATGCAGGGGACACTCTCAAATTGATTGCGAGTCTCCAAAAAAACCTAAAACCTATTTACGGACCAGCTTCAGCTTCCAGATTTAATGTGAGCAACACAGAGATAATGAGCAGCTTAACAATTTTGGAAACAGTGCAAGAAGATGAAGGAATGTATCACTGCATTCAAACGGATTTGTATGGATCTACCTGCAATGGAACCTATTTGTCGATAAAAGGTGAACAATATAAAAATCTCACAAATTCATTGTTGCTGTGTATCTAATGTCAAATGAAAACAAATTAACTAGATGATGATGAATATTCATGTTATTTGACTATTTTATACAAGTACACAATCAATTTTAAAACAAATGTACAATGAAATTGTCTTTATTTTTGGATAAAAAAGTTGCTCACACTAACATGGTGCAAAGCTTGTTTTATTGTTACAAAACTGATAATCTCTTTGCCAAATGTAGAAAAATTTCCCTTTTTTTATTTAATTACTATTTGTAATGTAGTATATATGTCTTTTTACATATTTAAAAAAAAAATCTGATTTGTCATAGCTATGTGTTCGAGATTATTTAATCTGGATAAAAAAAATCATTTTGTTCTCCATATAATTGAGACAAAATAACTTCTATCTATTTGAAATAATTCTTTTAGGATGAAAGTTAAGAATCTAATATTAAAATTTCTTTGAATTCTTGGGTGTAAAGAATATAGATTATCATAATCAAAGTATCTTTGTTTTCTAATTTTTTATAGTTCATTCTGAGAGGACCATGAGCTTCACTGTTGTTCAGCAGCCAGCAGTTTTTCTTCCCCATCATCCAGACAACTCGGTGACCTTGCAGTGTTTGGTCCTCTCCGGTTCAAAAAACACGACCTGTTCAGAAGAACCTCGTGTGTTCTGGTTCAAAGCCGGATCAAATAAATCTTACCCACATATTATCTACACTGATGGAAAAAAAGCTGGAAATTGTGACAAGAGGTTTGACTCTCAGGAGAAATGTATTTATAACTTCTCTAAGAGCTTCAGTTCCTCTGATGTCGGGACATATTACTGTGCCGTGGCCACTTGTGGACAGATAGTATTTGGAAATGGAACAAGTCTTAGAAATGGTATGAATTTGTTTATACCAGTTAAAGTATTTTACAAAACATCAAAAAACAGAACAAATCAATTATCTATTGTAGAAGTAATGACATTCTTTTCTTTTGTTCTCCAGATAAAACATCAAAAATCAGCATGCTGTTAGTCACAGTAATCTGTTTGGCCATTTCTTTGACTGGTAATATTGCTCTATTCTGCTTTCGAATGCAAAGATCATCATGTCAACGCTATAAAGGTTTGTGTCAGTCACTGAGTTGTATGTTTTGAAGAAGTGATTCAAATGCAAGAATTGATCATTTAGCTTTTTAGAAATAAATAAATACACTCAAAATCAGAAATGATGTTTGTTCTATATTTACAGAAGGTTCTTCTTCACAAACAAGAGGCAATATTAACCAAAAACCAGAGGATGTTGTAAGTAATAACACAACTTTTACTGCCAAATTTGAGGTTTGAAATGCTATAAAGCTGAACATCGAAAGGTACATTTGAAATTTAAATGTATTTTTCTAAACAGATTGAAGATGGAGCTGATCTGAACTACGCTGCATTACATTTCTCTGAAGGAAGAGCATCAAGAGGAAAGAAGAAGAGAGAGCTGATGACTAAAGAAAGTGTGTATTCACAGGTTAAAGCTTCAGCGTGAACATGTGTGTGTAAACTTGTATGGAAACTCAAATATGTTTATTCGGTTACTAATCAAAAATAAAGATTTATGAATTCAAATTGAACTTCTAATGAAAGTGATGTGTGTAAAATCAGAATGTTTAACACTGTAATAATTTTGCCTATATGACATATTATTTATGTTAAATATATTAAGTAGAAAGATTTAAAATTGAATTACCTTCATGTATTTAAATCTCTTTAACTCCAACTTTATATTCAATGTATAGCTTCTAAAATTAATCTGCATGCAACATACTAAAATTAATCTGCATGCAACATACTAAATTGAGCAATTAAAATTAATGCTCTACTCTTAATTATTGTTTTTTAACAAAATATACCTAGAAGAAACAATAGTCTTGATGCATTCTGTCATATCATCATGAAATTGTGTAAATTATTGCAAATATGCAAAAGGTTTTCATCCAGGATGTTGGAGGTGTTTCATATAACAATTTTCTTTTCATCAATTATTTGGTGAAAGTTTACTCTCCTTGGTTAACATGCAGTAGACATAGAGTAGAACCAAACGTCATCCTGTCGACTTTAGATCTTGTGTTGTGACATTTTGCAGTTGGTTGTGTCTCCTGTATTTTTAAAAATTAACTATTAAACTCTGGAACATTTTGTCTTTGTTAAATAAAAGTAAAAAGTCTGTATCAGTCTTTAAAACTAAATAATTAACTGAACTTTAATCAGAACTAAATAAGAAAATATTTTCAATGTTTCTGAATCATGAAAAGCAACATAGAGCAAGTATGACCAACATGTATTAAGGTAGCATGGAAATCACAATGAGAGCTAGGGATGGCAATGGGATGGTAAAACTTGGCTCCATCGGGTGCATTTACTCACAAAAGCCTTCGAATCCAATCTTTCTTATTGCCATCATGTCTTTTTCCATCTTGTTATATTTTGTTTTCTCACACAATGCCTCTGCTTTTCCATCATCACATCCTCATTTCCTTTCCTGGGGCATCATCAATATTTGGTAGAGAAGTTGACCTTGCTCCATATATTTAAGGTGAAACTTATGGAGTTTGTCTAGCCTTTATGTTCAAAACAGAATTGCACATTTCACCTCCCACATAAATTTGGAGCATTACACTTTCCTATTCTAGGATGCCTCCACCATGATTGTTTCTCTTACAGCTAACAACTGACTCCATTAAAGGAGGAGTTTCAGCACCCTCTTCTGGATGGGGTCCACACTACAACACAGGAAGAAGGTCAAAGACGACGTTAGTGGTTTATCGACGTTACTAACTTGAATCTAATAAATCACTATTCAACGATTAATTGTAAGCCTATTATTTGTTTTTAGCCAGAATGTTAATCACTGATAGCTCTTTCTTTTGAGCTATTTATACTAATAGCTGATCAGTCCATACTAACTCATTCAACTTTCCAAGGGGGATAGTTGTTCGAACACAGGAATGATAGAAAAATAATAATTTTCCTACTGAATGATTTTCAATGTAGATTACGTCTTTTTTTGTTACCTTACTCAGATGCCTTGGTTCCAGCGGTCACCGTTCAGCTTGGTGAACCTGTAACTTTTACTTGTGGTGCTATGGACAACTTTCAGAGCAGCACATGGCTTCAATGGTACAAGCAAAGTGAAGGAGATACTCTGAAATTAATCGTAATGCAGCCAAAAAATGTTGCTCCCAGTTATGGACCAGAATTTGCTTCAAGATTCAAAGCAACAAATTATGGAACAATTAGAAAACTAACAATCCTTAGAGTAGTTCAACAAGATGAAGGGATGTATCACTGTGCTCTTATAGGCTGGACTGAATCTACATGGACTGGGACTTATTTGAAAGTAAAAGGTAGGTATGTAGTCTCTGGTTTGAATCATTTTAATACTCTAACAATACAAAAACACTGTAAGTATTGAGTTAAAGCAGTTGGACTTCTGTTGTTTTACCAGCATGGGAACTGTGGTATTCTGAGTGTGCTGTTGCTTTTTTTTCCAGTGTCTGAAAATTGAATATTTTATTTGTTTCTTATTTTAATTTTATTTGATGTTTCCTAACTACAGTATTATTATAGTTTTGCAGCGCTTCTATTGTCTCATATAAAACTTTTCTTTTAATGCCTTTTCTCCATTTTAAAGGGTTACAGGATGGGCACGGTTTATTTTTTGTTTAGTATTTTTATTTTTTTGATATTTGAAATTATTGTACTGAATAACTTGTTTTGGCAAATCTTATTACAAATTAGCTGATATTTACATCAGTCAAAACTTACCTGGATAATTTGCAACTATTTAAGTTGTAACATGTGGTGTTGATATTAAGCATATAGATTTGTAATGGGATTTTCTGTGCATGTGGTAAAAGATGTAACTTACAAGCACTTTATAGACAAGTTATAGTCTGATTAATTGAGCATAATTTTATCAAGATTAAATTTAGTCTTTATTTTTAAGTCCTGGTAACAAGGAACATGTGGATAACATGTTTCAATATTTTATTAAAGTTAATTGTTTGTTATTGCTTTCAAACAGGAAACACAGAGGGGATATTAAACAGCACTATTATTCAGCAGGCAGAACCGTCCCACTTTCTTTGTGTGAAGAAAGTGGGAGTTAGCATATTTACTCTGTGCACAGTCTCGACCCTAAGCCTGATGGTTATTGTTGTCCTTATCTGCATAATCATCAAAAAGAAAAGTGACTCCTCTGAAGGTACTGGATGATACGTATTCAGTTTTCAGCAAGAGCAGTTTTCTTTCTATAACCTTAGTTTATTTTATAATCCAGATGGTGTTGAGCTGCAAAAACTTTGCAGTCAGGACACATTAAAGGTAAAGCATAAAATATTCATTTACTTTCTTAACACTATTTTGATAACATTTCCTTACTCAATCATTTTTATAGGGACACAAGAACAAATGGATCTACACTGCTGTCATTTTCACTGTAATGAAACTGGAGAGTGGACCAATAAACTCATCAGCTCAAAGAGAGAGTATTTATACTGCTGCAAAAGCCTTTGGGTTATAGCTGCCATGCAACATATGTTTCACATGCATTGGATAATGTCACAATGTAAGACAGGATATACTGTTTTTTTTAAGAAAGTGTCTATTAGTGTAACTACAATAAATATAATTTAACATTTCATCATGAGGAGTCCACAGATTATATGCCAGTGTCTCACTAATTTCAACTTTTCTTTGATTAACTATTGGATTCATTCATAGTGTCACCAGACTGCTGGATCTTAAAGTCGGTCATGAACAAGATTCTTAAATGTAACAATCAAAGTTCAGATTAATTAGTTTTGGAATGCATGTTATGCTGTGAAAATGTGTTTTTTGCAACAATTTTATTCTTCTACTGATATTTCTTTATTTCAGCTTTTGTTCCTCTCTTCACCATCCCATCACAAATCTGTTTCTCAATACACAAACATACATTTAGTATCGCTATTAGTTCCCTGTAAAGTTTAGTTTTCTAAAGTATTTTGAATCATAAGTTTCTTGAAACATGAATTTTATGTAATTCTACAAGGCATTACGGGTTGAACAGATCCTTCAATGATCAATTAAAGCTAGTTGTTCATCTGCATATTTTTGTGTTTTGATGTTTTTTCATATTTTTTTCAATATACGTGTGTGCATATATTTGTACTCATTTTGTACATAAACATACTGAGACCTCAAGCAATGACCAACCAACAGAAATTCTTATCAGTTTTGGTCATATATTTTTTACAGAGGAAATAACAGGATATACTAGATACAGATGTCAAACTCCAGTCCTGGAGGGCTGCTGCCCTGCTACCTTTAGATGTGCCTCTGCTGCACCACACTTGAATTGAATCAGGTCATTATCAAGGCTCTGGAGAACTTATCTACACGACAAGGAGGTGATTAAGCCATTTCATTCCAGTGTTTTGTACCTGTAACACATCTAAAATGTGATTCCAAAATTTATTTGGATCAATTGGATGAATGTGTCATACTTGATTTTAAATTCGTGGAGCTGCATTTGTTCTTACATCCCTACACACCCATCAGGGCCTTGAGGACCAGTGATTTGTCATCCACACTAAAATCTAAAACTAAAAGATGATTTTTAAATACATTTATTATTTCATGTCTTCAACTCTATTCTATTTTTAATGCAGAATTATTTTGATATTTTAATAATTTTGCCACATGAAGAAAAACACAATATCAAAAGCATTAAATCAGTGGTTCCCAGAGTGTGTGGTGCGCCTCCTACAGGGGGGCAGTGCCATTGCAGAAGAGTGGGGGGATGAAGCGGTATGGATGAAAAAAAAAAAACTGTTACACAATAGTGTTTCACTGTAAAGATGGTTTGAACTGTGTTTTGTTACAACCTGAAGTGTGAAATAAACTTGGGTGGAGTTTGAAAATAAAATATATGTATAGGTTTATGTCTGGTTGATTTTTTTTTTCCTTTTTGGTGGGGATTTTATTGTAATCCACAGGGGACCCAATATTGGGTCCCCTACTAGATCCATCTACTTTTGTATCATGGAAGTAACACAGACTGTTCTGGGCCCCAGGAAATCTTTAGGCACCACTGCATTAATATCTATTCAAATGTATACACCACAATTTTTGTTTGGACAAATGAACTGCAGAAAGAAACAGATTTTCTAATCTATAATCATTTACCAAAACGATTATTTTCTAATCACGTCACAAGATGACAATGCATCTGAGAGTGAGGGTCTGTTTCTGTGGTTCTTTTTTCTCACTACAGCAGTCAGTTTATCAGGAAATAAAACACGTGTTGGCAGACGTCCAGCTTCAGTTTCAATAGCTACAAGCAACAAAAAGTTGGAGCCATTAATGTAGAATGAGTCAAAGTAAAATGAACCTAACTTAACATTGATTTAAATTTTAAACTAATTTGTCATCTTCCTTTGCGATTTTAATGGTGTGTGCTCATTTTGTACGTGCACATGGTGCATTTCTGAGACTGCAAGCAATGGCCAACACACAGGAAATGTGAGGTGTGACTTTGCAGTGGGACAAACACCCTTCAGTCATACAAGTGATGTGGTTTGTTTCATACACTGTTTAATAAAAACAAGTTCTTGTTACTTTTGGCCATCATGGAAATAAAACAGGCTGTTCTTAAACATTGGTCATTGCAGCAGTTAAAACCTTCTGTTAAAAAAACAAAACAATTTATGGCTTTATTATTTATTTATAAGGAGAGATTAAAATGCATGATGAAGATTTTCCATGTTCTTATAATTTGACCTAAGATAAAACATGTGTTGTTGAGTAATTTATAGTTACCAGGGGCTATTAGAGTAATTATGATTTCTCCATGATATTTTCACATGTTTACTGTTAATAACATTCAGATATAATAGGTGAGACTACAACAGAACTTTTTCTGTTATTACTGAGCCTTGAAAAATTTCACTATGACTTCAACATTTTTCACCTTTACCAATATTACAATAACAAACTTCAGGCCATCTTATTGGAAGTTGAGTGTCAAACTACACAGGAGTAATACATGACTATGAAAAAACAAAACAAAAACAACAACAACAAAAAAAAACTAGTATGTGTTACCTTTAATTTACAATGAAAAGAGTTATTTGGTGTCACGGTTAACTTGCAGTAGTAAGAGTCTGGTTGGGCCTTTCTGTATTGACTTTGCATGTTCTCCTCATATATGAGTGGGTTCTGTCTGAGTAATGTAGCTTCTTCCAATAGTGCTGTCAAAATATGATCTTTAGACTAATAGGTCTCTCCAAACTGCCTTGAAGACTAAATCTGTGTGCATGGTTGTTTACCATTTGTGTTTCAGTGGGTGTATTTCCTCTTACCCAATGACTGGCGACAGACACCTCACCTTTATCCCCACAACGGTGCAAGTAGAAGCAGAGGAGATGAAGAGGTCAATATCATCTAGTTTCTGTTATGCATAGCTTAACAGAAACTTGACATCGCAATGTAACACCTTAAAATTGTGCCTCTGCTGCTTTAAGGAGATCCTACTCTTTCAAACTCCCCAACTTCAGCACTTCATCACAACAATGTTCATTAATTATGCTGTTCACAACTGTTCTCAGGAGTTATAAACTTTAAAGTAGTTTATAAGTAGTTTGTTATTTCTTCCTGCTTCTAGTCTGAAGAAGCTGAGAGAGGGAGGCATCGGAGAAGCTGCTCTGTGAGGTAAACTGGAGATTGCAGCTCCAAGGAGAAGTTTTGTGAAATTAGGCCTTGCTGGTTGACAGCAAGCATTTAGGCACCCCTGAGTGGTTGCCACGGAGGATTCAGGTATTGCTAAACATGAGTGTGAGTAGTGGAGTTCAACTCTCCCTATGTGTTCAGCTTCAGTCCTCAGATCTACCATCCTGGATTATTTACATGCATCTCTTCTGCAAGTGACCTCAATCAAATAAATTACCAGACCTCTGCAGAGCTTCATCTATACTGGTGAAGAAATTCAGTTATTATTTGATCATAAAGAAAGTGAACACATTTGTTTCAAGTGTTAAGGTTGGAAAAAAGGTTTACATTATTTCCATTGTGGTTGTAGTACAGTGAAACCTTGTGATTAAAAAGGCCAATCAGATTGCTGTGAAGTTGTTCACTCCCACTCTGCGACATTATATTAAGGGGGTTCATCTTTTGATCGCCTCTTATTTGTATGTCGCTGCTACAGTGGATTAATACAAAAATGCTTTTCCTGTTTTATGCAGTGCTCACGTTCAATTTTGCATGTAAGTATATTCACAAAATGAAAATATCCAATAATAATTAGCTCTGAAGGTATGTCTCTTTTTCATATTTGTCTCTGTGATCCATTGTGTTGTTTTTAAATAATAAACTTAACTGGGGTTTTATTTTCAGTTTGCACAGAAAATAATTTTGAGGTAAAAACTGTGACTGCTGGACAAAATGTGAACCTAAGCTGTCCTATCGAGTCCTCCGCTCTCTACCAAGACACTCTGTACTGGATCCGACTGGTTTCTGGAAACTGGCCAGAATTTCTTGGAGCAACATTTAACTTTGGGTATAATGAAGAGTCAAAGATTCCTCGAATTCAGACCAAACAAGAGGAAGGAGAATTTCTTCTTCTTATTAATGAAGCTCAGCGAAACGACACTGGGCTTTACTACTGTGTCAAAGTCAGACAGCTTGACTTTATATTTATGAATGGAACATTTCTACAAATTAGAGGTAAATGTAATAAAGTATTTAGAAAATCCTTCTTTTACTTGAGAGTAACAGTCTTCAGGTTGAGAGAGTAAAACGTTTCTTTTTTTTCAGGAGAGGAATCAGATGTAACTGTTTTTCTGGATGATTCTCCATCTGGTGCCATCCAGTCAGAGACCCGACAGACTCTGCAGTGTTCAGTTCTCTCTTACTCTGAGAGGAAAACATGTCCACCAGATAACAGGGTGTACTGGTACAAAGCTGGATCAAATCATTCTCATCCCAATTTACTTTATTTACAAGAAAACAGTGGAGATGAGTGTGAAAGGATTCCTGAAACTCCTTCTGCACAAAAATGTTTCTACAACTTTTCGGATACGTCTGATGCTGGGATCTATAGCTGCGCTGTGGCTGCATGTGGACAGATATTATTTGGAAATGGAGCAAAACGTTTTGGTATCTAGAGAACTTTTCTAAATCACAATTATGATGGAAATATTACTGGAAATTACTTTTTCAGATTTTTTTTCTTTTTTTAAATATTTCTTTTATCTTTTCAGGTTCCAACTCAGAGAAGTTTTACAAAATATTTCTCCCTTTATTGTGTTCGGCTTTGGTTATATGTCTTGCTGTAATATCTTGGCTCATTTATAAAATCAAGAAGAAAAAGTGTGGCTGTTGCAAAGGTAAAGCAAGTTTCATTTATCTATTTATTAAAACTATTTTCCATAGATTTGACATTCTCATTATTTATTTTCTTCACTGTACAAACAGGTCCAGCAACAAGTACTGGCGATCACCAAAGTAAACAGGTAAGGCAGAAAAACATTTTTAATTTGCCCTTTTTACTCATTATTAGGATTATTATTTAAGTCTTTATTTTCTTTCCAGAGAGAAGAGAATTTGGTATATTCTGCACCAACATTTAACAAGAACAAAGCTAAAAAAGCTGAAAGAAGGACTGTGAAAACGGCTCAAGAGGAGACGGTCTACACTGATGTCAAAACATTTCAATAGATTTACTTTAGTCTGAAGTGATGAATTAGTTGTTGCTTCTCATTCGTAAGACCAGAAACACAGATATACTTTTATTTAAGTGTTATCCCTAGTTTAAAGCAAGTGTGTTGGCCTAATTTTAGCTTAGGTTTAACACACACGCACTTGCATGCACGTGCCCACACACATACACACACACACACATATAATTTTGTCATTGCCTTTAGAAGAAAAAATTTTTTTTTTCTTTTTTAAATTGTTTTCTCTTATTTCTGTTTCTCTTTTTTTGTTTCTGCAATGTATGGTTTTCAGCAGATGCCCCTTATAAAAAAATCTAGGTGATGTCTTAACATAAAGATTTGTTTATATCAATAACAACACAACTTTGAAACATATTAACAGATGCTTTATGTTGACGACACATAGCACATAAGAATATTGTACTTTAATATAAAGAATATGCTGAAATAAATCAAACAAATCTTCTGTGTCATGTTTTTGTGCTTTGACTGCTTACAAATATCTTAATATGACTTTGATTTGCTTCTGTTCTCCTTATTTTTTAAAAAAACAAATAATGTGTTACAGTGTAAAATAGAAATGTTATTAATATTTAGGATGTTCATTGCAATCAGGAATAGCTTGTGTTTTCTAAACTGACCAAAATCTTAGCGTACTAAACTCCAATAAATAACAAAAAGAAACTTCTTCAAAGATTAAAATAAACTTTATAAAGTCTTATTTATACTTTTTGAAGTCAGAAATTCATGTGGCATACCAGAGAACACACTTTGATTATGAAAACATTTCATAATCAAAGAAAAATTCTTTCACTATATGTTCTGTATATTTTGTGACTATGCTGGGAAAGATCGTTTGGCTGAAAAGTGGCATGATCGTGGTGCAGTAAATATTAATTTGTACATTTTTGATATGTGCATATCCAGATGACGATTTACTAAACGTAAAAGCAAATGCAAATGTCTGTAATCATAGACATAAACCTCTTAAGGTTTATGTCTGTAAAATTATGTCAAATAAATTATTTTTTCTATGAAATTTCTTGCATAAATATTGTAAATAGTTTGCATACAGTGGTTCTCGTGAATTTTCATCTCACAAAGTAACAAACTTGTGATCCAGATTGTGGTTCTATTATCCCAATTCAATAAAACACTGGAATAGTGACAACTAGAAAAAGCATAAAAAAATAAGATACTACCATTGCATAGTTGCATGATTTCAGTCTATTTTGGGATTTCACCATTTTGCTTTAGCTGACCTGAGTCTAGTTGTATTTGAGGGTAATGAGATATTCTTATGGCTGCTAGGATGCAAGACACCTCATTGTGTAAACTTATCTCATACGCAATAATCCTCTCTAAACACAGCTAAATGTAGAAAATGTATTAGTTATCTAAATCAGGACTTGGAACTTTAAACTTTTGAATGGTTTTACTCTCGATATCCATGGATGTTATATGCTAGATACTCTATATACATGTCTATTAAACCCAATTATACTCATGTAGTGCAAGATATCATTACTCACCAGTCACTGGTGTGCCTTGTAAAGAATGAAGATGTTTCTAATGCTAAAGCAGATGATGATGTTCAGGAGGATTTTCTTCTGCCTGCAACATATGCCATATTGTGAAAGGTATTGGGTTGTCCCTCCAAATTATTAATTCAGTCTAGATCACTCAAATCCTCTCATCCCTGACACTCTTTTTTTTTAAACTTCCAGCACATAACAGATGCTACAGGCTACTAATATCCCAGACAAAAGAGTGATCTACAATTTCAATGCTAAAGAATACAGTAGCTGCACTTAACACAGCCATCTTGTGACATACTGAACAGGCTATAGCTGCTAAATGTGTTTTAATTATTTGTTTATTGTACTTTAACAGCACCTTGAGCACTCCATCCAGCTTTGTTTACCAATACAATGGAAATAAACACATTCATTCATTCCATGGATAGAGGTGAATAAAATCAAGTATGTACCAATCAGGCTACTTCTACAAACAATGGTGAAACAACAGGTTACTCTCAGAAGCTTAGTGATTTCTGGTAAAACGACGATATAAGATGTCACCTGTGCAAAACGTTGTCAAAAGATTCCTCAGCAAAGACATTTTTAACAGTTAACTGTCAGTGGTCTAACAAAGTGAAAGTAATAACAAACAGCAACAAGTCAGACACAAAGTGGTAAGCCACATAAAATCACTCACCACTGGAATCTATGCAGCGGAGAAATGAAAATGAAAATAGAAAAATTAAGATGCAAGCAAATATTGTTTTATTACAACAGCAAAATACAAACTATTTACAATAGAAAAAAACAAACAAAATACACAATGACAACACATAAGTGAAACATATAGGGAGAGCAAAATTCAATCAGATCATGGAGTTAGCATTGATACTAACTATCTTTCTGGCCACCTCCATGCTGGAGAACATGGCACTACTTACAGAATAACTTTCTTTTATGTAAACTTACTTTAACCAAAGAAAGATATTCTGGAATGAGTAAAATAAAAGATAATTAAACCCAGCAGTGACGTGACTGTCATTCTTCCTCCAGTTCTTTGCTGATTGTTGGTGGTAAATGGTATCCATTTGGTTGAATAATTTTCAATTATTTGGTCCAAACTACTATTAGAGTTGCGGTTCTGGACGGTCCAGTAAATGCAATATTGCTGTGCTGTAAACTTGTACCTGTGAGCAGTCATCAGATAAGGAATATTTTTGAATGTTTTTTTTGTTTCCAGTCACTAACTTCCTCTTTTACTCTCTTATCACCAACTTAGCTGTAAAATGTTATCATGGTTCACTTTATGTTGTATTTTTTTTAGACACTAAGGAAATGTCTGATACCAAAAGAATTACCTAATGGAAGATCCTTATAACTGAGTAGATGAAAAGTCAAAGTAGAAAAATAACTTTAATCAGGATGTGTGTGATGTATTAATAGATGAAGGCTGGCACTGGATAGTCAAAATGATGCAGGATGAAGTGTGGTCCCACATTAATTGCATCACATGCTGACCTGTTTACCTGATCCCATAAGCAAACTGACATCTGATTGGCTGTTTCAACCAGTAAGCACACATGATTGCTATGACTCTGAGGTCAATATTTTTGGTGAAACTTTGATCAACAAATCTCTCAGTTCAAGAGCCAGTGGGCGGGGCTAACATTGTCTGAAATCTATGACAGCTTCCTTCACAGCGCACCATAGTGACATTACGTCCTCATTTATTTGGAGTTTTAAAACATGAGAATTAATTTAAGTTTTTTGGTATTACAACCATATCTTATATTACAACAAGGAGCAAACATCCTTTTTTTGCATCACAGGAAATCTGTTTTTTAGATTAACACACTGAGAATGAAATGTAGATGTTTTCTTTATCAAACAGAAACAACATTTTCATCAGTAGGAAGTGTGCACATTGTCTTTCTTGTGTTAAGAGTGAAAAAAAGGGGTTTATAGATTTCCATTGTGGTTGTTCAACAGTGACGCCTCACATTACAAAGACCAATCAAACTGTTCTGAAATAGTTCACTCCCACTCTGCAGCGTTATATTAGGAGGGTCCATCCTCCTACAATCGTCTCTTAGCTGGACGAAGCCGCTAATGTGGGTTAATATGAAAATGCAATTCTTGTTTTATGCATTACTCACCCTCAGATTTGGATGTAAGTATCTTTGCAAATGCGAAATATATGTGTTTTACAAGAGTTTTACATATGATTATATTATGTTAATTGTGCTAAATTCTGTTTTTATTGAAGTTTATTAAGGTGAGATTTTTTTGATTGGATTTATTTCCAGTTTGCAGTGACGAATTGAAGAGTGAGGTAAAGACCGTGACTGCTGGACAAAATGTGACCCTAAGTTGTCCTCGCCAGACCTCCACTCTCTACCGAGAAACTTTTTATTGGATCCGACTTGTTTCTGGAAACTGGCCTGAATTTCTCGGAGCAACAGTTAATTTCAAGATTGACGATGTTTCCAAGATTCCTCATATTCAGGCCAAAACAGAGGAAAGAGAATTTCATCTTCATATCAATGAAGCTCAGCGAAATGACACTGGACTTTACTACTGTGTTAAAGTCAGACAACTTGACTTCACATTTATGAATGGAACATTTCTGAAAATTAAAGGTAAAAAGATCTATTTATGACATGTAACTACTGCATATTTGTACTTATTTCTTTTATTGAGAAAGTAAACCATATCTTTCTTTTCTCCAGGTCAGGAATTGGATATGGTCAATTTTATTCAGGACCCTCCATCTGGCTCATTTAATGCAGAAAACTCAAACACTCTGCAGTGTTCAGTTCTCTCAGACTCTGAGAGGAAAACATGTCCAGCAGATAACAGGGTGTACTGGTTCAAAGCTGGATCGGATCATTCTCATCCCAGTTTCCTTTATCTACCAGAAAACAGTGGAGATGAGTGTGAAAGCAGTCCTGAAGCTCAAACTGCACAGAAATGTTTCTACAATTTTTCTGAGACCTCTGAGAGTGGGATTTATCACTGCGCTGTGGCTGCATGTGGACAGATATTATTTGGAAACGGAGCAAAACTTGGGGGTACAGAACTTTTCTATATAATAATGATGGACAGGCTACTGGAATCAAATTTTCAAAATGCATTTTTTCTTCTTTTATTTTTTTCTTCCTAGATGCCAGGTCTATGGATTTTTCCAAAATATTACTTCCTTTATTGTGCTCAGCTTTGGTTATAAGTCTTGTTGTAATATCTTGGCTCATTTATAAAATCAAGAAGAAAAAGTGTGGCTGTTGCAAAGGTAAAGGAAGTTTCATTCATCAGTTCATCAAAAGAGTTTTCAATTGGTTTGAGATTCTTATTATTTTTCTTTATATGCAAACAGGTCCGGCAACAAGTGTTGGCGATAACCGAAGTCAGGTAAAGTGCAAAATATTCTTGTACGTTTGCAGTTTTTATGAAGTTGTAGTATATTTCCTTGCTCAATCATTTTTATAGGGACAAGAAAACAAATGGATCTACACTGCTGTCATTTTCACTGTGATGAAACTGGAGAGTGGACCAATTAACTCATCAGCTCAAAGAGAGAGTATTTATACTGCTGTAAAAGCCTTTGGGTTATAGCTGCCATGCAACATATGTTTCACATGCATTGAATAATGTCACAATGTAAGACAATATGTACTGTTTTTTTTAAGAAAGTGTCTATTAGTGTAACTACAATAAATATAATTTAACATTTCATCATGTGGAGTCCACAGATTATATGCCAGTGTCTGACTAATTTAAACTTTTCTTTGATTAACTATTGGATTCATTCATAGTGTCACCAGACTGCTGGATCTTAAAGTCGGTCATCAACAAGATTCTTAAATTTCAGATAATTCAGATCAATTAGTTTTGGGTGAATGTGTCATGCTTGATTTCATGTTATGTGAAACTTGTGGAACTGCATTTTAAATGTGTTTGTTCATTAAGCAGCATAATATACACAATGAAAGCCTTGTTATGCTGTGAAAGTGTTTTTTGCAACAATTTTATTCTTCTACTGACTGTTCTTTATTTCAGCTTTTTTTCCTCTGCTCACCATCCCTTCACAAATCTGTTTCTCAATACATAAACATGCATATAGTATTGTTAGTAGTTTCCTACTAACAATACTAGTAGTAGTATTAGTAGTTAGTAGTTAGTAGTTTAGTTATGTAAGGTATTTTGAATTTTAAGTTGGTTGAAACAAATTTTATGTAATTCTACCAGGCATTACGGGTGGACCAAATCCTTCAATGACCAATAAAAGTTTTTCATCTGGGTGCAGCTTGCATATTTTTGTGTTTTGATGGTTTTTGTATTTTTCATATATATGTGTCTGTATGTGTGCATGTATGTGTGCTCATTTTGTATATGCACATACTGAGACCAACCAACAGAAAATGTGATGTGGTTTTAAGTCAGACACTGTTTATTAAAAACAAGTTCTTATCAGTTTTGATCATACAGTTTTTCACCAAGGAAATAATAAAAAACAATCGGATACACTAGGGACCAGGAGCCAAATTTCAGTCCTGCAGGGCCACTGCCTTGCTACTTTTAGATGTGCCTCTGCTGCACCACACCTGAATCAAACATTATCAAGGCTCTGGGGAACTGATCTACACAAGAAGGAGGTGATTAAGCCATTTCATTCCAGTGTTTTGTACCTGTAACACATCTAAAATGTGATTCCAAAACTTAACAATCAAGGTTTGGATCAATTGGATGAATGCGTCACGCTTGATCTGATGCGTTATGTGAAATTTGTGGAGTTACATTTTAAATATTGTATTGAATGATGAAGTACGATATAAAGGAAGTTTAAGTGACCTATTGTGCAGGAAAAAAAAAAGTCTTAGCATGTAATGCTTAAAGTTTTAATTTGAAGCAATATAGTGAAACAAAGTCAACCTGTTTTTCTGTGGGATTTTCATAAACTATCTTTTTTGGATATGCCAGTTTAATGATATTTTGACTGTGCATGACCTCAAATTATTGTATATTTTCAATCTATTCTGGGATTTCACCATTTTACTTTTTGTTAAGTTTGAATTCTCCAATATTGTCATACTGCCTAAGAAGATAGTTTACTTGAGTCAAGTAGACCTGAGTGAAGTTGGCCCCCCCACCTTCTTCAAATCAGAGAAAATTGGTGTCAAAGGCACAAGGAAATAGTATGCTACACCCTTAAGGTCTAGATATTCAGGGCGGTAACATAAAAATGTCCAGAGAAAATAAGGGGCAATAGAAAAAGTAATTTATTACAAAAAAAACCAAAGTTTGCACAAAACCAAGACACAATACAACTTAACCGATTAAAACAAAGGAAAAGGGCTAACATCTTTAAGAATGATTAAGTGCAAAGTAAATTACAAGATGCCCAAACAAGTCAGTCTAAAGTAACTCAAATAACCCAAAAGGGAAAAGAAAAATAAACACCCACGAAGGGAGCAGCAAGCCTCCTAAACACTAGTTTCTAGCTTGTGAAGACAACCTAAACAAATCAAACTGCTTTAGCAGAGCAAACAACAAAATATTTCCAAAATTGCCAAAGGCAATTACAAACAAAGGTGGGGAACAGCAGAGCAAAACCTCCTCTTACAAGCTTTCCCACTGAAGGAATGTTTCAGGAGCCTTTTATAAGAACAGGTGAATCTCATTAACATCTGATAGGCTTGCAGTTCTCTGCTGGTCCAATGGGGTGAAGCTCCTGCAGCTTCCAGGAGGCCAATCAGGAGATGATGTGTCATCACAGCTGAACCTCTATAACAATATATATATATATAAAATTCCCTTCTCACCCACCGCGGGTGGTTCTTATCCTCTGAGCTCGGGTCCTCTACCAGAGGCCTGGGAGCTTGAGGGTTCTGCGCAGTATCTTGGCTGTGCCAAGGACTGCACATTTCTGGACTGAGATGTCTGATGTTGTTCCTGGGATCTGTTGTAGCCACTGCTCCAGTTTGGGGGTTACTGCCCCGAGGGCCCCGATGACCACAGGCACCACTGTGGTCTTCACCTTCCAGGCCCTCTCCAGTTCCTCCCTGAGGCCCTGGTATTTCTCTAGTTTCTCGTGCTCCTTTTTCCTGATGTTGCAATCACTTGGTATTGCTACATCTACCACAACGGCTTTCCTCTGTTGTTTATCCACTACGGCAATGTCTGGTTGGTTCGCCATTACCATTTTGTCTGTCTGGATCTGGAAGTCCCACAGGATCTTAGCTCTGGCGTTCTCCACCACCTTTGGGGGTGTTTCCCACTTTGATCTCGGGTTTCCAGTCCATATTCTGCACAGATGTTTCTGTACACTATGCCTGCCACTTGGTCATGTCGTTCCATGTACGCTTTCCCTGCCAGTATCTTGCACCCTGCTGTGATGTCCTGGACTGTCTCAGGGGCCTCCTTGCACAACCTACACCTTGGGTCTTGTCTGGTGTGGTAGATCTGGGCCTCTATTGCTCTGGTGTTTAGGCCCTGTTCCTGGGCGGCCAGGATGAGGGCCTCTGTGCTGTCCTTGAGTCCAGCTTTTTCCAGCCATTGGTAGGATTTACTGATATCAGCCACTTGGGTTATTTGCTGGTGGTACATCCCATGTAGGGGTTTGTCCTCCCATGATGGTATCTCCGGCACCTCAACCTCTGTTCCCTGTTGTCTGAGACATTCACTGAGCACATTGTCTGTTGAGGCTTTGTCCCTGATGTATTTATGGATCTTAGTTGTTTCGTCCTGGACAGTGGTTCTCACACTCACTAGTCCTCTGCCTCCGTCCTTGCGGCTCGTGTACAGTCTCAGGGTGCTGGATTTGGGATGGAACCCTCCATGCATGGTTAGTAGCTTTCTAGTCTTAATATCTGTGGCTTTTATCTCCTCCTTTGGCCAGCTAATTATTCCAGCAGGGTATCTGATTACTGGCAGGGCATAGCTGTTTATCGCACGGATTTTGTTCTTGCCATTGAGCTGGCTTCTCAGGACTTGCCTTATTCGTTGGAGGTATTTAGCTGTGGCTCCTTTCCTTGTGGCCTCATCGAGGTTGCCATTTGCTTGTGGTATACCTAGGTACTTGTAACTGTCCTCTATGTCTGCTATTGTTCCTTGTGGGAGTGAGACTCCTTCTGTGCGGATCACCTTCCCCCTCTTTGTGATCAGCCAACCACAATTCTCCAGTCCGAATGACATCCCAATGTCAGTGCTGTAGATCCTGGTGGTGTGGATCAGTGAGTCGATGTCTCGCTCACTCTTGGCATACAGCTTGATGTCATCCATGTAGAGGAGGTGACTGATGTTGGCCCCATTTTTGAGTCGGTATCCGTAGCCAGTCTTGTTGATAATTTGGCTGAGGGGGTTCAGGCCTATGCAGAACAGTAGCGGGGACAGAGCATCTCCTTGGTATATGCCACATTTGATGGACACTTGTGCAAGTGGTTTGCAGTTGGCTTCAAGGGTGGTTTTCCACAGCTTCATCAAGTTTGCAATGAAGGCTCTCAGAATCCTGTTGATGTTATACATCTCTAGGCATTCAATGATCCAAGTATGCGGCATTGAGTCATAGGCTTTCTTGTAATCGATCCAAGCCATGCACAGGTTGGTGTGTCGGGTTTTGCAGTCTCGGGCAACTGTGCGGTCTACGAGGAGTTGGTGTTTGGCTCCTCTGGTATTTACACCGATACCCTTCTGTGCCGTGCTCATGTGTTTATCCATGTGTTTATCCATGTGTTTGCTTATCTTGGCCGCTATGATGCCTGACATGAGCTTCCAGGTTGTGGAGAGGCAGGTTATTGGTCGGTTAGTTGGGTGGGACTGGACCCTTTGATGGATCCTTCTGGATTAGGATTGTCCGCCCTTCAGTTAACCATTCAGGGTGAGTCCCACTTTGTAGCAGCTCATTTGGGCTGCCAGTCGCTCATGGAGAGCAGTGAGTTTCTTTAGCCAGTAGGCATGGATCATGTCAGGCCCTGCTGCTGTCCAGTTTTTCATACCTGAGACTCTTTCTTGAACATCTGTCACAGTGATGGTTACCGGGGCTTGCTCAGGGAGGTTGCTGTGGTCCTCTCGTAGAGAGATCAGCCACTGTGCATTGCTGTTGTGGGACGCCTCCCTTTCCATATGCCTTTCCAGTATTGTTCAGTCTCCAGCCTTGGTGGGTCTGCTCTGTTGTTATTACCCTGCCATTGAGAGTACACCTTAGCTGGTTGAGTGGAGAAGAGCCGGTTAATCCTTCTGGATTCATTCTCCCTTGTGTATCTCTTTAGGCGGCTGGCCAAGGCTTGGAGCCTTGGCCAGTCTCGAGTGCTTCAGGTATGGGCATCTGCCTGTACTTTCTGGGTACTGGTCTTTTCATTGTACCCTTGTTGAGCTCTGACAGTTGGCTCACTTCCCTCCTTGTTACCTTGATTTTAGCCTCTAACCGTCTTTTCCATGGTGGGTATTGGGTCTCATGGTTGCTCTTATAGCCAAGTATCTCAAGGATCACTGATGCTGAGTTGTAGATCAGCTCATTGGTTTCTGTTATGGTGTTGGTAGGGATCGTTCTCAATGCTGCATTCACATTCTCAATGAGACTTTCTGATGGTACTTCACTCAGCCGTTGTAATTGGCGCCGGGGAGGCCTGGTTGTCATTCGGGTCATGATTCTCTCTCTCAGGTCAGCAGCTGTCTCGTTCAGCTCTGTTTCGCTCATTGGGGCCGTGTATCCCCTCACTGGGTGGGGACTTGTAGTTAAGTCCCCACAGTCCTGACATCCGGGTTCCTCCCTTTTGCCGTAGCATTTGTGTTGTATCTCGTCAATCTCAAGTTGTGATAGCAGTTGCCGTTTGCGGATGTTGGAACACTGAGCTACTAGTTGTTTAGCGCTTAGTGTTGACTGGGGATGTCGAAGTAACCATTCCTTCCCCAGTCTTTGCATGTAACCTCTCTCACTAGGGTTACTTGAGTAGTAGCATTCCAACAGATCCACATTTTCATCTCTCGCCCATTTCCGTCTTGTTCCAGTAGCCCATTTGTCATCAAGGTGCTCTGGTTCCCCAACACCTGACGCAGACCTTGTTTTTGGCCGGGCGACGTCTGAGCCGGCATGTTACGCAACTTAGTATCTCTCATGGTATGAGGTAGGCAGTAGCTTGAAGGGTCTTGCCTAAGGACCCAGACTGGATTCGAACCCTGCCCTCTCGGGTGATATACTGATGCCTTATGTATTGAGCTATCCAGTCAGCTATATATCCAGTCATATATATATATATATATATATATATATATATATATATATATATATATATATATATATATATATATATATATATACCAGGGCCTCAGGGAAGAACTGGAGAGGGCCTGGAAGGTGAAGACCACAGTGGTGCCTGTGGTCATCGGGGCCCTCGGGGCAGTAACCCCCAAACTGGAGCAATGGCGACAACAGATCCCAGGAACAACATCAGACATCTCAGTCCAGAAATGTGCAGTCCCTGGCACAGCCAAGATACTGCGCAGGACCCTCAAGCCCCCAGGCCTCACTGACAACACATAAGTGAAACATATAGGGAGAGAAAAATTCAGACAGATCACGGAGTTAGCATTGATACTATTTTTCTTGCCAGCTCTACGCTGGAAAAAATGGTGGTACTTACAGAATATCTTTTTTGGTCAAAGTACGCTTACATCCCTGGGATTAGTAACGTAAAAGATACTAAGTCCATCAATGACATGACTAAGTCATCTATCCAGCCAATCGTCGCTCATGGGTCTCTTCAAAAGGTCTAGCTACCTTGGGTCTACCCGCTCCTCAGCCGCGCTTCGACTCGCTTCCTCCCCATCTTCAGCTTCATCCCAACGGACACCTTCCTCTGTGCTCCTTCATCTCAAGGCTCCGCTCCATCACCAGTATTCGGACCGGGGTGAAGACTACATCAGCTCATAAGTCTTCTGCTGAGTTTGAGCGCCAACGAACTTTGTAATGAAGCCTAGGCACAAATTCAAACTGGAAGACTTTTCCTAGCCTTACCTGCCTCAGCCAACGGGTGCATTCTGCTTATCACCATCGACCAATCAAGGCTGATCCAAGACAGGTCATGTCCAATAACTGTCCAAGTTCCATCTGATAAGGACCTCCATCCATGGTGTCTTCCGCTTTCCAGCAGTGCTCAATTTGTTCATTCACACACCTCAGCTTCTCACCCAGATCCTTTTCTTCGTAATTTCTCGTCCTTCCACCTCTAACTTCCGTCATAAAAGCCGAAAGGGGTAAAATGGAGACATGACGCTCCCTAGTTGGCCTCGATCATTCCAAACAGCTTCTCCCACTGCTCTCTCGCCTGACTGGGAACCACCGTCTCCTGCTCCTTTGCCACCTTTTTAACGGTACATCTCTGGCGTAATCCCACTGTGTTCATCCCCTGGCAGCCTTTCTTCGCCACAGGCCCTGGCCGGCCGGCTAAGGTCTCGCCGCACCAATCTACTATGCCGCTTCCTCCCAGCTCATCGTCCATCATCTCTCCATTTCACCACTGCTGTTCATCACATCGCCTGAACGGTTCCCCCGCTGTGGTTCAGCCTCGTCAACAGCTTCTCTTACCACCATGTGGCCGCTGTCAGCCCACTCATCAGCACCTCCCATTGGATTCCTCACGCCACGCCCACCTCGGGGTTTTGGGGTAAGATGTATCTTCACAAGACTCATTCATGGTTCGCAATGCACGGAAATGCAAAGTCTTTCAATTAGTTCATCTCCTTCCTGAACTAGCAGGACCTATTCTTATGCGCCACTCAGGCTGCATTTCAATGCTTCAGGGCTTTTAACTGAATGAACATTTAAATAAATTAATAAATAAATAGTAACATCCCTCCTAGCGTGAGCCAAGTGGATCATCAACCTATTTTCCCAGCGTCTCGTACTCAGTAGTAGCCTCGGTCTCCTTTTGTTTTCAAGCCCCATATATTACCTTGAACTTTATTATGCCCCACACCGGACCTCCTGCTCCTTTTCTCGCCTCTCTCAGTCAAGTGCCCATGTCGATTCACGCTTATCTGCACAGAAGGATTATTCATAAATAAAAATGCAGTCTTATTCATGGGTCATCATGGTTACTGCATTCAGTTCTCTGCTTCTTTATTGGCTAAGTCATGGTCAGTTCGTGCACTCGTTGTCTTTAACTGCGTGACAATATATGTCATGCTACCTTTGACGCCAGCAATGAGATACTAGATTAATCCTGAAGCCCCATTAGAATTAAATGCAGGCGAGTAGATAAAGAAAATAAAAAAAATAAAAAATGTGGGGGTTATCCCAGAGCATAGCTAACCCTAACACTAACCTCCACGGGCCCAGCCATTCGGCCGCATTCTTCCCCAACCTCCACCATCAGTGCCGGGTCCCTGGGGGATGATGTTCCTATCAGCATTGGGAACGCTCATCTGAGCTTATCGCAAATAATTTTGCGATAACCGATGTCCTCAGTCGGGGCCTGAGCGCCAAAGACTTTAAATTTTGTCTTCCCTTCTCTCCGTCTGAGTGTCTTCAGATTGAATAAAATCTACTGACTGCTATTTTCTCTTTGTCAGTCTATCCAGATTGAATTGTACCTATGAGCAGTCATCAGATGATAAATATTTTATGATATCTTTTTTTTGTTTCCAGTCACTAACTTCCTCTTATATACTCTTATGACCAACTTAGCTGTGAAATGTCCGAAAGTTATCATGGTTCATTTCAATGTTTGTATTTTATTTTGGACACTAAAGAAATGGCTCGTACCAAAAAAAGTACCTAATGGAAGATCATTATGACTCAGTAAATGAAAAGTCAAAGTAGAAAAATAACTTTAATCAGGATGTGTGTGATGTATTAATAGATGAAGGCTGGCACTGGATAGTCAAAATGATACACGATGAAATGTGGTCCCATATTAATTGCATCACTTGCTGACCTGATCCCGTAAGCAAACTGACATCTGATTGGCTGTTTCAACCAGTAAGCACACATGATTGCTATGACTCTGAGGTCAATATTTTTGGTGAAACTTTGATCAACAAATCTCTCAGTTCACAAGCCAGTGGGCGGGGCTAACATTGTCTGAAATCTATGACAGCTTCCTTCACAGCGCACCACAGTGACATTACGTCCTCATTTATTTGGAGTTTTTAAAAATGAGAATTAATTTAAATTTTTTGGTATTACAACCATATCTTATATCACAACAAGGAGCAAAAATCCTTTTTTTGCATCACAGGAAATCTGTTTTTTAGATTAACACACTGAGAAAAATGAAATGTAGATGTTTTGTTTATCAAACAGAAACAGCGTTTTCATCAGTAGGAAGTGTGCACATTGTCTTTCTTGTGTTAAGGGTGAAAAAAAGGGGTTTATAGATTTCCATTGTGGTTGTTCAACAGTGACGCCTCACATTACAAAAGACCAATCAAACTGTTCTGAAATAGTTCACTCCCACTCTGCAGCGTTATATTAGGAGGGTCCATCCTCCTACAATCGTCTCTTAGCTGGACGAAGCCGCTAATGTGGGTTAATATGAAAATGCAATTCTTGTTTATGCATTACTCACCCTCAGATTTGGATGTAAGTATCTTTGCAAATGCGAAATATATGTGTTTACAAGAGTTTTACATATGATTATATTATGTTAATTGTGCTAAATTCTGTTTTTATTGAAGTTTATTAAGGTGAGATTTTTTTGATTGGATTTATTTCCAGTTTGCAGTGACGAATTGAAGAGTGAGGTAAAGACCGTGACTGCTGGACAAAATGTGACCCTAAGTTGTCCTCGCCAGACCTCCACTCTCTACCGAGAAACTTTTTATTGGATCCGACTTGTTTCTGGAAACTGGCCTGAATTTCTCGGAGCAACAGTTAATTTCAAGATTGACGATGTTTCCAAGATTCCTCATATTCAGGCCAAAACAGAGGAAAGAAAATTTCATCTTCATATCAATGAAACTCAGCGAAATGACACTGGACTTTACTACTGTGTTAAAGTCAGACAACTTGACTTCACATTTATGAATGGAACATTTCTGAAAATTAAAGGTAAAAAGATCTATTTATGACATGTAACTACTGCATATTTGTACTTATTTCTTTTATTTGAGAAAGTAAACCATATCTTTCTTTTCTCCAGGTCAGGAATTGGATATGGTCAATTTTATTCAGGACCCTCCATCTGGCTCATTTAATGCAGAAAACTCAAACACTCTGCAGTGTTCAGTTCTCTCAGACTCTGAGAGGAAAACATGTCCAGCAGATAACAGGGTGTACTGGTTCAAAGCTGGATCGGATCATTCTCATCCCAGTTTCCTTTATCTACCAGAAAACAGTGGAGATGAGTGTGAAAGCAGTCCTGAAGCTCAAACTGCACAGAAATGTTTCTACAATTTTTCTGAGACCTCTGAGAGTGGGATTTATCACTGCGCTGTGGCTGCATGTGGACAGATATTATTTGGAAACGGAGCAAAACTTGGGGGTACAGAACTTTTCTATATAGTAATGATGGACAGGCTACTGGAATATAATTTTTAAAATGCATTTCTTCTTTTATTTTTTTCTTCCTAGGTGCCAAGTCTATGGATTTTTCCAAAATATTACTTCCTTTATTGTGCTCAGCTTTGGTTATAAGTCTTGTTGTAATATCTTGGCTCATTTATAAAATCAAGAAGAAAAAGTGTGGCTGTTGCAAAGGTAAAGCAAGTTTCATTCATCAGTTCATCAAAATAGTTTTCAATCGGTTCGAGATTCTTATTTTTTTTCTCTATATGCAAACAGGTCCGCCAACAAGTGGTGGTGATAAGCCAAGTCAGGTAAAGTGCAAAATATTCTTGTGAATTTGCAGCTTTTATTTAAGTCACAGAATATTCTTTAACCTTTGTATTGCTTTCCCAGAGTGAAGAAAAGCATTTGGTATATTCTGCACCAACATTCAACAAGAACAAAGCCAAAAAAGGAGAAAGAAGGAATGTAAGAACAGCGCAAGAGGAGACGGTATACACTGACGTTAAAACATTTCGACAGATCTAATTTGCTCTAAAGTGATGAATAAATTGCTGCTTATCATTCTTAAAACCAATAATACAATATTCATTAATAAATCTATATTTTGGATAATTTATATTTTAAGTTTCATGCAAGCTGATGTTTTTCGATTGTTTATTTTAACTTAGGATTTTTAAAATGAAGTCCTTGAATTTTCTTTTGTAAAGAAAATTTTATTGAGTGCATCAGAAGTTATAGAAAAAACAGATTCATATAAAAAATTTTCTCGAGTTTTACAGCTGCCTTTATGAGTAATTTGTTTTTGTCTTGCATGTTTCCCGCTGTTTTTCACAAAAATATTTAAATTAATTGAAAACTGACTTGTCCTCATATCCAAATTGCTCTTAAATAAATCTGGTTTTTCAGTGTTCATAATCCATACTGAAGTGTGATATCATTGTATGATTTTATTGATTCTATTCTTGTCGTACATTTTTATTCTTTTACCTTTCAGTGGTTAATTAATTTTCATTATCCTTTCATATATAGTCAGATGAGTGTTATGAGTGAGTTTGTTAATTGAAGTATTCAACTTTAAGGCTGAATTATTTTTGTTAATAAACTCTTGTATTGGGGTAAAGAGTTGTTTGTGTTTATTCCATGCATGTGTCGTGTCTTTGTGTTAAAAAAAACAATGCTGGGTGTTTTTTACCCCTCCATCTATTATTTTAACATCTAAGCTTTAGCAGATAGACATTAAGACACAATTAGTGAGTCTGATCTATTTAGCTTTTATTTTCATGATGATCAGGTGGTTATGCTGATTTGGTAAATATTAACTAAATTACTATTTTATCAATAATTTTCCTAAGCAATTATTTATAATTATTCAAGCCAAAACCAGACCTATTGTTGCACAACACCCTTAGACAATTCACAAGCTAGAGAGGAGATTTGTGTGCTGCTTAACATGTGAAAAGAACATAGCTTTTGATTTCTCGTCATTCAAAGCCAGTTTAAGCTAAGTCTGGACTGAACAATGTCAAATGCAGATTACAGAAGTTTAAATGACTTAGAAACTTAAGGAGCAGCGTTGATTGTGTTTATTCCATATGAAACCATGTCTCAAACTATAGATGTTAGAGAAGAAGATTGACTCATTTTTCTAGATGAAGCCTGTATGTGAAACTGAAAGGGAATGTAAAGATATTGTGCCTATTTACTATGAAATACCTTTTCTCATTCTCTTGCTTGTTTTTGCAAGACTGTAGCTGGAGACATCAGTTTTAGAGACACCATGTCACAGCTCAGAGGATAGCAGGGAAATTAATGAGTTTTGGTGTAAAATTAGTTTATTAGATTTAGATGCAGTGCGTATGTGGGCGTGTGTATGTGTGTCTGCTTGGATAGAGTGGAAGGACAAAGGGTGTTTGTGTGATTATGTGGATTTCTTCAGCTGAAAGTTTTATGCTCACTGCAGAGTCCATGAGGAGCCCCAAGTGCTCAAAGAACCAAAGCCTGAACCACTAAACAAACAGCACCGACTTCCTTTCCATGCAAGCCCATTAAATCTTCAGGACAGATAAGCTCTGTTAATGGTAATGTTATTATCAGGTCATTGCATTGTGGTCATTGTGAAATATGTGCAGAATATTAATTCAGACGAATGTAAATAAAAGACTATTATGCATATTTGCTGTAAATTGGGAAATTTGACTTACAACACAGAATGTTGCAAGATCTCCAAAAACATAAATGTCGCATGACATTTGTTACTGAATTTGGAGCAATAAGAACAGCTAAGTTTAAATAAAGAGACAGTTCTTCAATTTATTCTTGAATGGACGGAGAGAGTCAGATCAGGATAATAAACTCCTCGTCTGCGTCTAACAAAATCAGACTTACAACCAAGTTTAGATACAGATAAGTCTCACCCACATACTACAGTATGTAGTATGTGGGTGGCTGTATATGTACTGACAAGTAAACCAGGTCCCAGATGATTTTATCGCACCTCTGTGCTCAAAGCAGCAAACTTATCTGATCTATTACCCTCTTAAAATGTCACTTCATCTTCAATATTCTTCTCAGTAGATTCCACAACTTTCTTCTCTTTACTTACACAACCCAAACGTTTCAACACAGATAAATGCAGTTAAACATACCTTTCAGCAGATATATTTTCATCAGCACTACAATATCAGAATTCTAGAAGATGTTGCCGGATTGTTAGCCGGCAACATTTGTTTTTATATGGCACAAAATCACAGCCCAGATATTCAACAATAGAGCAGAAGATTAGGGAACATATAAACATATTTCCTGTTCAAGGTTCCTTCAGCTCTGCTGCAATAAATACCTTTGAAGTTCAAAATTGCCATATAGTATTTTTAAAATGATAAAAACGTGCTTTGTTAAAACCTGTAGAGAATCAAGAGACAATAAAGAGATGAGCCCTTTCAGGAGGTGTTAATGCTACAAATATTTATTTAGTAAACTATACAGCATCTGTTATGAAGCTCACACTTTGTACCTCAAAATTATCATATTTGCAAATAACATTTCAGTCAGATAACGCCTGCCAATAAAGCATCCAAAAAGAAAAACTTTACCATAACTTATTTAAAAAGAATTACAAATAAAATATGCATCTTAAAAAGAGCAGAAACCAGCAGGAGGTAGTGGGGAATTTGTTTTAGACAGAAATTCAAATAAGTTGTTATTAGCGTTTATTCATTTCTTAGAACTGCTACAAGTTATGACAATATCTGCAGGCTTTCTTTACGTTTACTCAGTTTGTGAGAGTTAAGTAGAAGACACTGTGCTTCGAAAAGACAGGAAATGCCCTTGAACTTGAGCTTTTATGTAGCCAATCAAATGCTTTCAGGGCTGTGGATCGTCACACCTCTTACTTTCAGTAATAAAAAGAAAAGCTTCAGTGTGGACAGTGTGTAAAGATGACGCTGTTCTGGTTTACACTGCTTCTCCTTCATCAAGGGTGTAAGTTAAATGTACAAGACTTGAATGATTTGTAATGCAGTTGAAATCCTGCTGGGAAAGGTCATGTTCATAATACTTTATCATTTTTTTTATATTGCAGGAAGTTTTGATATGTTGATGTAAATATTAACAGTTTACACTTTTCATATGATGCAGATGCATTGATTCCAGTGAAAATTGTTCAGCTTGGAGACACTTAATGAAAATATTTTCTGGTCAAAATCTAACAAAAAGAGCCCATTTGTAAACAATAGAATTTGAATTGTATTGAGCATCAGGATGACAGTAGAATGATTATTATAATTATGAGATTTTGTTAAAAAAATATTTATTTATTATTATCAGACTGAATCTGTTGTGGCTCACATTGATCCTTCTGCACCAAGAACGTAAGTTAGAAAACAAACAAAACCTCTGAATGTTTGTGAGCATAATAATTTGAACATATGTATCCTCATATTTTATCTTTTTCTGTAGATTGTGTCTTATTTGTTTGTTCTGAAAAGCAAACAATGCTAACATGTTTTATTCTTCATATTGCAGATGCCTTGGTTACAGTGAAGATCGTTCAGCTTGGAGACACTGTGACTTTGAAATGCTCTTTTCAAGAAGAAAAGCAGAGCAGCAGCAGTGAACTTCACTGGTACAAACAAAGTGCAGGAAATACACTGGAATTGATTGTGAAGCTGATGGAAAATGTTGCACCTACTTATGGATCTGAATCTTTGGGCTCAAGATTGACTGCAACATATACAGCAAAAATTAGCAATCTGACAATTAGAATGACAACTGAAGGAGACGAAGGCATGTATCACTGCGCGGTGATTGATTGGAACAAGAACACTTGGCAAGGGACCTATTTGCTAATACAAGGTATTTTAACTATTAAAATTACTTCAACAAGACAAATACTTAGGAATCCAGTTTTTATTATCTTTATCAGGTTATAAGTTGTAGCTGAGAAAGAAAAGGGATAAGAAATAGTTATTTCACAGTGTCATAGGTATTTATCAGCAATGTTAACACATTTTGGGAGAAAATGTTTTCTATCAATATAAAGAAGTTCATATTAAATTAAGTCCATCATGTCCAGCTGTATTCACTTCAGTGAGAGAAATATACACCACGGTTTTGAACACTAGATCCTGTTGCATTTTTTTCCTTCTCCTAGTCATCCAAAATTAATTTACAGTGTCTAACAAAGAATTTTGCTATGTTTAGGAAACACTGTGGCGTCGTCTTCAAGTTACACAGTTGTTCAGACGCCAACAATATCACATCCAGTTCATCCAGGAAGCCCAGTGACTCTTCAGTGTTCGGTCCTCTCTACCTCTGACAAGAAGAAATGTTCAGGAGACCTGAATTTGTTCTGGATAAGAGCTGGGAACAAATCTATTCCAAACATCATTTACACTGATGGAAATAGAGAAAACAAATGTGAAGAAAATTTGGACTCTCAGCAGAGATGTGTGTACAATGTCTCCAAAACGGTCAATGCATCTGATGGGACTTTCTACTGTGCTGTGGCCACATGTGGAGAGATATTTTTTGGAAATGGAACCAGTATAGATATTAAAGGTAACTTGAATTATTTGTACCATTGTGAGGTGAACTATTCAATGTAAAATGTTACTTTTCTTTTTTTAAAAAAAATCAGAACATTAAAAAACATGTCCTTTTTACTAACTTGTAGTTATTTATTTATTTTTTATTTAATGCTGTTTCAGAATCCAGCTTGTGGTCCCAGGATGCTCGAAAAGTTATTCTTCTTCTCTCTACTGCTCTGGTAATAAGTCTGGTTGTGATTGCGTTTCTTATTTACTTCAGCCTGAAAGATAACTGTGTTCACTGTAAAGGTAAGAAAGCAATCTTGAAGCAGTTCCTGTGGTTTACTTAATCTGAAGGAATATTAATT